TGTCGGGGTAGCTGTTGGCAACACGATCAGGTCGTCATCGGAGAACTCCGCCTCAGAACTGTCAGAGCCGTGATGCAAAGTCTTTGGTGACAGAATTTCCGGGAGGGACGATTTGCTGGAAAGGGGATCTTCATCCCACATCTGCGGCGGCGACATGCCTGTGTCTGCTGTAGAAGACACATCCCAGATCTCACCGACTGACTGTTCTCGAACGCTGCTCGCGGCTCCATGGCTAATAGCTGGCGAGGGCCAGGCTGCGGCGGATGGTCCGGCAGTGGCAGCATCTGTATACTTGAATCCGGTGTCTGCAATATACTTCTGCTGCCCTTTACCGGGAATGGGCAACAGGATCTGCTCTGGCTTTGTTGGAAATGGAGTGGCGGTATACATGTCGACATCCTCTTGATCTTGATCTTGAACCACACGCAGGGACCGTGTGGGGGATCTCTCATTGTTGTGGGCAGAGCTTCGCTCTTCCAATGCCCGCCGCCGCCGAGGCGGAGGCGAGCGCGACTGGGTGTGTGAAGGCATAGTTGTCGAACCAGAATTAGAGCATGGTCCGAGGGACCAACGGGGCGTCAAAAGACTAATAACCAGAAGAATATCTCCAACGTGGAGTATAAACAATGAATGACGTTAACCGAAAAGGGAGTTGTTGTTGTTTTCCTATATTGGATTGATGTAAGGAATGCCACGCCCTGGGGGGTCGATTTTGATCGATATCGATAAGTGAATGGTTCTATATGGCCGAGTTCTTGGTGTAAAAAAGAGCGTAAGACGTCAAAAAGGTCGTCAGAGGGCAATCAGAAGGTCGTTTCAGACGTTGCAGGCCATTAAAAAAGAGCGACAAGGAACGAAAAGGGTCATTAGTTTCAAAAAAGAAGGACGGGAACAAAACGACTGGAAAACAACACCGCACACAAAACATGAGACACAAAACGAACCAAGGGGGGCCAGGAATTTTGTTGCCCAGCGGCGGTGAAGCGCCGACGAGCAAGGCAGGGCCCAGCAGAGTCCAGCGCCTATCACAGGAGATCCAGACCCCCCAGGGGTATGCAGCCATGCACGGCCCTAGAGCGCCGTTGACCTCGCGGGGCCCAGTGACGATTGGTGGAGACGCGCCCGTGAGAACGGATTTTCGGGCGCGTTGCCTGACAGAGTTACGCTGATGCACACGCTGCAGTGGTCACATCTGTCTCCTCTCGTTTATGTGTTCTGTATGAGTCGACCTGGCTGGGAGGGGCCAGAGGGGGGAGCCCTTTTGTCCAGCGATCGTGAGCTTTGAGCCAGCACTAACACTCACTCCCACATCATGCACTACTGTACATAGACGGAGTACGCTTTCTGCTGACGATCACAGCAATCGCGAACCAAATCCTGAAAGGAACCCTACTGTACTCTCAGCCCAGCCCCAGCCCCGGGTGGAGTCAATGCGTTGTCAAGGATTCTAGCGCAATTTCTGGGCTAATCTCTTATTCTCTCTCTCTCTCTCGTCCTCGCCCTCGCTGACTCTTGAACAATATTGAGATCCCCTGGCAGCCCACCTGGGACGGTTGCTCGTGAGGTCGGAGAATTTGTTGTCCACGATTCAGTCCCCTCGCATTGACTCATATTAAAATGAGGATTGACAGGGACAGCAGGGGGAGGTGCATATGATGCCTCACTTGCGGGCCACGAGTTGGAAAGAACGCTCGGTCCACCAGTTCGGGATGGAAGGTTGGTCTGGTCCAGAGGATAATTATAGCCAGTGGTCAAAGGTGGAATATGGAGAATACGATGTCTGTCATTGCTGGTGATATCAAACTGGCGATTGTTGTTGTTGATGTTCTTTGTCCTACATAGTATTGTAGTTGTACACTTGGCCCAACCGTGGTTCCAGACTGTGTTTGTGTATTACCAAACACTGCCACACTTCCCCCGCATATATCTGTGTATTTGTTCCTGTGTATGGTCACACTCTTTCACGGCCCCAACAAAGCAAAAAGACGGGCCGTGGCCAAGTTTGAGAGAAGTTGCTGCCTTTGAACTTCAAAGTCCAGGCCGATATCACTCTTTCTTGACGCCGCACTCCTTCCTCGCCATTCCATCCCACTATGGCACCTGTCGGGATACTCGCACGGCTGAAGAGCCTGTATTCCAAAGGTCAGGGTGAGTGAATAATATCCTGAACTCCCGAGATCGTCCCCTCCCCCAGACAAACTTCGGACACATCAGCTAACCCGCCCGTTAGATGAGCCTTCACTGTCGGTACACACCGTCGTCGTCTTCTCAGTAAGACTTGCCCCCCATCCCCCTTCTTAGGGTGTTTAATTAGAATTGAACTCAAAAAGAAAACACCTTTTTGATCATTCACCTTCCTTTCCTAATTAAACAAACTCCAGGTCGCCCTTACATTGCTCTATGTCTTGCCTTTCTATCTGTCGCACGCCACGCGACCATCGCCAACTCTGAGTCGAGATGCGCCCTCTGTGATTCGCGCTCGCATCCGCGCAGTGACGGGTTCCTGCGTCGCCAGTTCTTTCATTGTGCTATGGCTCATTGTCGAGGAGGGTAATTCCTCGCTCGGCGCTGCGTTGAGCATGCTCGGCTGGTGGCCCATCGACCTGGCAGATATTCTCCGAAGCCTACTGCTAACAGCCATTCTGTTCTTGGGCCCTCTCTTTGAAAGGGGTATTGCCGAAGGCGAATGGCGGACTTGGTTTCGTCGCAGTAAATTATCCGAGAGCCTGAGCGGTTGGATCGGCTGGAGAAATTATGTCGCCGTAAGTTTGACTGCCCCTGGTTCTCTACCATGGTTCCCGGGCCCGCGATGTACCCCGAGCTACTCATACATATCTCGATATGATAAACTGACCGCTCTATTTACAGGGCCCCGTCACTGAGGAGGTCATGTTTCGATCGGCTATCATCCCACTGCATCTTCTAGCGCATATATCGCCTGGGAGGGTCGTGTTTATTGCGCCCTTGTACTTTGGCATCGCGCATGTCCACCATTTTTACGAGTTTAGACTTACTCACCCCGATACGTCGGTTTTGGCTTCTCTGCTACGCTCGCTCTTCCAGTTCGGCTATACCACCATCTTCGGCTGGTATGCGACATTCATCTACCTTCGCACCGGATCTTTGATTGCGGTCATTCTGGTCCACAGTTTCTGCAACTGGTGCGGATTACCTCGGTTCTGGGGCCGCGTTGAAGCTGGAGAGTCATTCGGGGTACCGATCAATACCCGTGGCAAGGAGGACTCGGATGGGAATTACGTGGCCGAAGACGATGATGGTCAGCTAGGTATTGGTTGGACGATTGCGTACTATCTGCTTCTTGTTCTTGGGGCGGTTTCGTTTGCACAGTGTCTTTGGCCTTTGACTGAGTCTTACTATGGCCTGGTGTCATTTACTGAGTCGAAGTCTGGCACAAAATGATTTCCATGGAGAAGATATTAATTTCCTTCATACCTGTACCTATGCATGATTAACATTTCGTCGGATTTGGATCAGACGAAGCTCATTGGTTTTTGACAGCCGGCTATCTATAGGTCTAACTGAGATGATTGCACAGGATACATGCCTTATTGTCTTAGGCTTTTAATGACATAGATTTGGATTATCTAGCATTTCTGAAGACTCTAGTCCTAGCCGCTATGCTGCGCATTTCGTATTCAGTACTAGTTTTAATATTAGATACTACTAGTAGTAGTCGAAGAATCATCCATGCCCAGGTGGATGGCCGCCTATTACTGTCTAGGTGGTCAGTCGTTGTGTTGATCTCCTTCAAGTTCTTGTGGACTCGGAGATAATGAGAGTCCGAACGTCGACTGAATATATAACGAGAGCAGCAACATTAGTATCCACCTGGAACAACATATACTACATCAGCACTCCACCAGGGCTGGCAGTAAAATTACGGGCAAAGCACAATTCAATACCTATTAGTTCTATCTTAAACCTGGAATTAACTGAATCACATCCATGAGTAGATTTCAGCTTTCTACGAACTCCCAACCTAACTATGATCTATAACTGGAAGGTCATTGTAATAATCTTGGGATAAAGCACCGGAGAAAACTTGAACTACCCCTAGATAGCTCCTCGCCGCCCCTCGACATCCCAATCCCCTACAACCGAGCACCCAAGCACCCAAGCACCCACAATCCGATCTGGCTCACTAAAAAAAAAAATAGAGAGCTCAAATATCTACACAATCGCCTCCAATAAAAACACACTCTTTCGAAAATTGCCGGTCGCTCCAAAATCACCCAAACCTTCCAAGGTTCTTTCACACTAAGACACATTCCAGCTGCCCTTGCAGCCCTTGCAGCCCCAGCCCCTTCAAAGTCAACAACAATGTAAGACAAGTATGCCCGTCCAGATCAATAGTGGCGGACTTTTTGCCAGGAACTCGGGAACTAGCAGCTTTTATTCTGCTGGGCTCGTGATATAAGACCTGACCTGACTTGATTGCGCAGTCGCCCGGGTACCTGTACCTGTTCCACAATAGATTATCCACCCCTTTTCACACACCTTGCGAGAAGCGTCCGCCTAGGTACCGCCCTTCAGTGAAAGTCACAAGTCTTTATTTCAGGTAGATGAAGTTCAATCCTCGAGCCGGGAAATTCTAGATATGATTTTCCATCCTGCCCCCCCAGGTAGAAACCGGGTGACATCGGGATTGGCGTCCCTCTTCCCAAAGCATTTCCACCTATAGAACAAAATGTAATATTTCTTCAACAACATTCGGAGGTGCGGCCCGCCCCGTCGCTCTATTCCTCTTTCACGGCGACTGTTATCAGGAAGTGGTCGCTGACCCAGTCCATCAAACTGGAGACAGAACCCCCTCATCAAATGTTACATGTGACAGCAAGCTGCATATTCGGACACAATACCCCACTTCATGAGCTAATCAGAGACCAAACTTCCATAAATACCATGCATATGTTTGCTCCGTGAGGATAGTTATCGGACGGGGAATTTTGCAGCAAAATGCAGCTACGTTGCTTCGTGCAATGGAGGCGAATCGCTTGAATACGGTGGGACGTTGGGAAAATATGGCTTAGTTTGACTGCAGCTGTCGTGTATATTTGGCATGTCTGCCGCCTTACACGATTGGGGAAGTCTCGTAAATTTCTCAATTTTCTGAAAAAGATTTCGCTGTTCGACGTGATGATAATTGTCTTAGTCTTCGCTTTTGGACTTTGTGGTTTGGTTTATGTCTGCCTTACCTCTGGGCGACGAGGCAAGAATCTTCCACCTGGTTAGTCGGGATTTTAGAAAGTTACCAACCTTTTTCTTGATTGAATCAACTAATGATGACTCTGCCTTAGGTCCTCCAACCATCCCCATCTTAGGAAACCTACATCAGCTTCCCAAGTCCGGTACCTTTCTCAAGTATGATAGTCTTTCTTCGTCTAATACAAGAACTTTTTTATGTCTATTGTTTATATGTATCTAACAATATCTCCAGACTCACAGAATGGGCCCAGCAATACGGAGGAATCTACTCCATAAAAATAGGCTCGGGGACCTCAATCGTCCTCACAGACCGCCAACTCGTCCGCGAACTCATCGACAAAAGAAGTTCAAAATACAGCCAACGCCCTCCATCTTATGTATCCGATAACCTAATAACCCAGGGCGAGCACATGCTCGTAATGCAATACGGGCCATTATGGCGCGTTTTCCGCAAACTCGTTCACCAGAATTTCATGGAATCTGTCGTGGAGAAGAATTATGTTCCGGTACAGAATGCCGAAGCTGTACAGATGCTTTATGATCTCTGTCAGCGGCCGGATCAACATATGCTTCATCCGAAGAGATTTAGTAATAGTGTTGCTATGAGTATAAGTAAGTCTGAAATCGACTGATCCCTTAACTTGACTTGACTTGAATATGTGATTTGTTAAATCAAATGCCATATTCAGTTTTCGGCATGCGAACGCCTACTTTGGATACGCCGCATATGACTCGTTTGTATCACATCATGGTAAGTTCAAATTCGTTGTCAAGTAAACCTTGGAAGTAATCAAAACGAAATCCATTCTCATGGACCTTGAATCTATCTAGGACGACTGGGTCCAAGTAATGGAACCCGGCGCCACACCACCGGTCGACATATTCCCAATCTTCCACTGGCTCCCGCAAAACCTATACAAAAATTGGAAAAAGACATCCAAAAGACTCGGATCAAACATGAACTCCCTATACAGCAGTCTACTAAACGAAGTCCGAACACGCCGCGAAAATCCCAAATATCCCCGCAACACCGTGATGGACTCTGTTCTGGACCAGAACGAGAAACTCGGTCTGACGGATCATCAGATTTATTTCTTCTGCGGAGTTTTGAACGAGGGTGCTTCTGATACTACCGCGACGGCTATTCAGTCTTTTATTCACGCTATGATTAAATGGCCCGATATTCTGCGCAAGGCGCAGATGGAGGTTGATGGTGTTGTTGGTGAGGATCGGACGCCTGTTTGGGAAGATTATAAGTCTCTTCCTTATGTTGCGATGACGGTTAAAGAGGCTATGCGTTGGAGGCCTGTTGTTCCGCTTGCTTTTCCACATGCTGCTACGGAAGGTAAGTGGCAAGTTCTCTTCGAGTTGACGCGACAGTGTAAATATGCTACTGGTAGTATAAGTATTGAAAGCCGCGAGCCAAGACTGATTTGTTTGATTTATTAGATGATTGGGTCGATGGCTATTTCATCCCCAAGGGCTCAACGGTCATAATTAATGTCTGGGGTCTTCATCGTGACCCAGCACATTTTTCCAATCCGGACGTTTTCGACCCAGATCATTTTAAAGGGAAGACTGCACTTGCTCCACAGCTGGCAAGTGTTCTCGACGTCAATCAGCGCGACCATTACGGGTATGGGTCTGGACGTCGGATTTGTCCCGGGATGCACCTTGCAGAACGCAATTTGTTCCTGGCGATCGTGAAGCTCATTTGGGCTTTTGATTTCGGGCCTGACATGGATGAGAAGACTGGTTTGCCTGTTGATGTGGATGTTGACCCGCAGACTGGATATAAGGAAGGACTGGTACTCGGTGCGAGACCGTTTGCTTGTCGAATATCGGTGAGATCAGATGCGAGGAGAGATACGATTGTGAGTGAATTCGAGAAGGCGAGGGCGAATGTATTTTCAAAGTATGACTTTTGATGGATTTGGGGTTTGGGCATCGTACTTGATTTCTAAGATTGATCAATGAGATGATGGTTTGTTTGTTTTGTTTTATGTTCTAGTGTACATGTCTATTTAAGAATGTTAAAATACAGAAGATGGAGAGTAGAAGTTCATTTCTGAGCTGAGCCGTGATCAGAATACAACGTTCACGAGCTTGCCACCCTTCACAACAATTACCCGCCTTCTCTTCTCCCAGTCGTTCTTTTCTTTCAGCCAAAATTTGCCTTCTGTGGTGTCCAAAACATGGTTTATTATCCAGTCCTGTTCTTCCAGCGTGGGTCCGGATTTCTTTCCCTGGGTGGTGGGTGTAGTAGACTTCATCCGTGGAATATTGACGGCGCATCGCATCTTTCCATTGATCTGGATAGCCACAGTCTGACCACCACGGGCAGAAAGAGCGTCCGCCTGGTCAGAGGAGAGGAGAGGGGTTGGCCAAGACGAGGCATGGATGGATGGAACAACGGCGGTAGGACTGGTCCCTTGAACCAGAGACTTGTGCAGTACTTCCCAAGATTCCGAGGTCAGTGCTGGGGCAATGGGCGAAAGAAGGCGGAGGAGAGCGGAGATAGTGAGGTAGAGGACAAGAGGCGAGGATGGAGGAGCCGAGACGAGAGCGTTGGTCAATTTTGTCAGGTCTGAGACGACAGTGTTGAGACCATAAGGGTTGTTCTCAATGCATGATGTGATAGAAATGATGGTCTTATGAGTGGCCAGGATTGCATCTGCATCGGAATCGCTGAGCGCCTCCAATGAATGTGGAAGAGAAGCTGCGTGGCTATTTGAAGCGTCCAGATCAGAGGCAGAAATCGTAAAGCTCGCGTTATTCAGTGTTTCTCGAGCATCAATGACAAGTTTCCACAGACGGCCGAACCAGCGTTCGATACCAACGATCTTAGCTTCGTCCCACTCCAGCACTTCACTAACCGGGGCAGCAAATAGAATTTGCGCACGAGTAGCGTCGGCTCCATACTTGGTTGTGCAATCGGTCGGGTCAACACCGTTATGCTTGCTTTTAGACATTTTCTCGAAAGATATGTTAGGTGTGATTTGGGTTCCCTTGATCAGGGGCTTTTCCAGGTCTGAGATATCCACTTCAGACGGATGCAAGAATCGACCCGTTGATGGTTCAATGAAAGTCTTTCCATGAACCATACCCTGGGAAAGAAGAGTCTTGAAGGGCTCCGCAGGCGCTGCCAGACCCTTATCTTGGGAAATGGCTGGGAATTGATCGGACTCTGCAAGGAACTTATAGATGAAGCGGGCATAAAGCAGGTGCAAAATGGCGTGTTCCACACCTCCAATATAGAAATCCACAGGTCGAGCGACAGATGGCGAGAATGGAGCATCCTTGTTTCTGGGATCCAAAAAGCGTAAGTAGTACCATGATGAATCTACGAAGGTATCCATGGTATCTGTATCACGCTTCGCTGGCCCTCCGCAGCTGGGACAATTGGTGTGGAGGAATTCTTCAGATGACTCTAAAGGATTGCCCTTCTTTCCCTTCAGCCAGTCACCTTCTATCTTGGGCAGTTTGACGGGAAGGTCCTTCACGGGTACGGGGACGGGGCCGCAGCCACCACAGTGAATGATTGGAATGGGGGCACCCCAATACCGTTGCCGACTAATTAACCAATCCCGGAGCCGCCAGTTCTCCATGAACTCAGCTTGTCCCACCTTCTTGAGGTCGGTAACAATCTGCTTTGTAGCCTCTTTAGATGACAGGTCTTGATATTTCCCACAACGTGAAGAAAGGAAGCCCTCTTGGGTAAAAGCAGTCGCGTCGCGAGCAGGGATGACCGATTCGACAGGGCCACCCTCCTGGGACTTCAGAGGATCCGAGTTAATGACAATGGGAATCGACTCAGGATTCATGTTCTCTTTAAAAAATGACATGTCCCTGGCATCATGGCCAGGGACAGCCATCACTGCACCTTCGCCATAATCGCTAAGCACATACGGTGCCGCAAAAATCGGTAGCTTCCTTTGCAGGTGGGGAGTTTCTTTGTCGATTTTTGAAAGTGGGTGCGATGCCTCGGCGCTTTTGAGAACATAACCGGCCTTCGAATCCGGTGGAGTAACGCCGCCTCATCCAAAAACTTGCGAAGAGATGGGTCCTTTTCAGCTGCCTCCAACACGATGGGATGGTTTAATGATAGAGCAAGATATTCAACTCCATATAGTGTGTCAGGGCGCGTCGTGAAAACGCCAACATCGACCTCTTTTTCTCCGTTGATAGTAACTGGAAATCTCACTTTGGCTCCTTGGGACTTCCCTAGCCAGTTTCGCTGCATAGATAGCACTCTCTCGGGCCAGCCCCCAGAAAGCGAATCTAGGTCCTTCAAGAGCTCTTCCTTAAATTGAGTGATCCGGAAGAACCACTGCTTAAGGTTCAACTTTTCAACTTTAGCTCCCGAGCGCCACGAAAATCCATTGGCATCCACCTAGGGCGAAGTCAACATGCATAGTCCACCACAAGTTATTATTCGTCGCCTACCTGTTCATTGGCCAACACTGTTTTGTCAACTGGGTCATAGTTGACAAGCGCCTCAGACTGATATGCAAGTCCCTTCTCGTATAGCATCAAGAATATCCGTTGCGTTTGCGCGTAGAATTCGGGGGAACAAGTTGCCAGCTCCTAAAAATAGTGAGTCAGCCAATGCACTCCATAAGTTGGGCGTGCATTCATTTGGATTCCACGCACCCTGTCCCAATTAAACGAAGTCGAGATCCCCCGCAACTGCTCCTTCATCTTGGCCATATTTTGCTCCGTCCATTCCGCCGGATCAATACCTCGCTCAATCGCCGCATTTTCCGCCGGAAGCCCAAAGGCATCCCACCCCATTGGATGCAGCACGTCATGTCCGCGCATTTTGTAGAATCGCGATAACACATCTGAAATCGTATATACTCGAACATGACCCATGTGCAGAGTGCCGGAGGGGTAGGGAAACATGGAAAGGACATAGGTCTGCGGCTTTGACTCGGTACTTTTCTCTGTCACGAGCTGGTTTAAAGTCGCGTCGGATTGCCATTTTTCCTGCCATTTTTTGTCGAGAGCCGGAAGGTCGAGTCTTCGAGGGGTCGAGGAGGTTGTCGCAAGGCGAGTGAAGGTATTGGACGCGAGAGGGAATCGGAGTTGGTGAGGGCGCGCGCAGCTCCGGGCGTGCGCTGCCAGGGGTGTCAATCGGATACGTGAGAGTGTCTGCATGACGACGAGTTTATCGTCATGTCAGCACGACCGTAGGGGAATTGTCGAACAGTAGCGGTATGGACCACTTGTTGTTGGAGAGATTGTCTGATCTTCAATTGAACTTCAAAACTTCCCCGGAGCCCGGGCAGCATTAGACCTGATTAGGACTAGCGTGATCCATGGATAGCTGGTCAGCTTTGACCTAGGGTTGGTAGAACTTGAATAGAGCTAGTACATTATTTTCTCTGCTCATTCATGATACATTTCAAATAATTTTCAATATTTATTGGGCATTATTTATGTTCGTTTATATCCACACATCGTATCTACCAATACACACACCATGCTATATACACACTATACACTAAGTCTATCTTATTTATCATGGTGTCTACATTCGCAATATATCTCCGTTGCGATCAATTCCTCCACGAAAATGGTCCGCCACGACCTTGCCCCCAAGAATAGTCTCTTCCACTAGTCCTTGCACATGCCTAGGCTCGATTCGACCATACCAAATACCCTTACCCGCCAGCGGGTGAGGCTCGGCAGAAGTTCCCACCGTCATCTTGGGCGGGATGTAGATGATGACATTACCAGCATACTTGTGCCCACCAACATGGCTAATTAAACCAATATTTGCATGATTGGGTCCATCGATGGTGGTACCGTCACCACCCGCAGACTTGTATCCTTGCGCTTGAAGCACACGCTGGAATTCGCTTTCCAGAGCGGGCGCCATGACACCACAGCGCAGGTCTCGACCCCCATGACCACAGATCAGGATTGTAGGCGAGTGGTTGATGTCAAGTACACCGTCGAAATGAGACGAAAGTTCGGGGGCCCGGGTCATGTCTGTTCGTTTGGCTTCTGGGAGCGAAGAGTGCATGTTGTGTAGACGTTCGGGGAGAAGGAATGCGCGAACAAACGAGGTCAGATCGGCGGCTCCAGTAGATGAAGTCCCGGCTTCGACTGGTATGGAGGGTATATATTTGAAGCTGGGGAAAAGAAGTGCGGAGGCGGTAAAGGGGCTGTTTGTAGCAGGGACGATAGAGGAAGTAGAGACGAGGACATTATTGAAAGGCTGTAATAACGAAATGGCATATGGTCAGAATATAGATCATGGGAAATGGTGCAGGGGAGCCACAAACATCAAGATATGGGCCACCTCGGCTTAGCAAACGCTTAAGCCCTCGTACAAGGTCACCCCAGCTTTTGTTTTCTCCGTCGTTTTCAATGCGGCTTGTCCAGTCTCTTTGGTCGGTGCATATCACTAGTTGCTGCGCATAGGCTGCCATTGTCCCGTTCAAGGCTTGTTCGTGATCAATTGGTAATCCCTCGGGCATGGCTGGCGTGGGCGGACAGTTGCAGGTCGGCTCGGGACAAGACTTCGTAACGGGGAATGGAGGGGGGATTTCGAGGCGTGCACGATGACGACTTGCGCGACATGGCGTGGTTGACAGGGATCTTGCAAATTTGGAGCTGTGATGTAGTTGTGCGCTCCAGTCGCGCATGAGCGACTGCGTGAGCACTGTTGACAACGGTCTCATCGGACAGGGCTTGGAAGATATATGCAAGAAAATCGGGTATAAGTAGGTCCGACACGGGGTTTATGAGGTCGGAGGGTAATTGCAAAGAGCGCAAAAAGAAAGCGACAGGGCAGGGAGAAATAATGGTGTTCTCGGGGAAGTTCAAGACAGTCCCAGCATCTCCGAAATCTCGGAGCGGAGATTAGCGGGATTATCAATCGCCGCATATCATTCGCAGCGGGTGTGGCTCCGGTGTGGCTCCTTCACTTCCACACAGGCACAATCCACCCCTGGCGGGGACAAAAATAAAACAAAAAGAAGAAGACGAATATGGCGCCACCCGGATTCGAACCGGGGCCACCTCGGAATTGGAAATTGCTACTGTCCACTATAGGACAGTAATCGACCACAACGAGGCATCTTAACCAGCTTGACTATAGCACCTTATTTGATGAAGACTGACACCAATTAGTGCCAGATAAGGGTGCACCACCCAATCACCCGCCCTCTCTTCCACAGGTGGGGCTGTGCCTCATCCCTGTCAACAGCCTGAGATATCAGTTCTCCAATTTCTCTAGACAAATAAATCAAACCTCATCTTGCCAGGATTTGATGAGGCTGCCTCAAACAAATCCTTGCCCATTCCGGAAGTCGTGGAGATTATTCTCTTACACATAGACATAAAAAATGAGGAAAAATACTATGCCGCTCAGATCTTCGGCTACTATAACCTTTGACCTGGGGGTGAAGCCAAGAGCAACAAAGCAAGTTGTGCATGTTGAGATTGAACAAGATGAATCTATGTACAATATATCATGATAGTCAAATATAATATTCAAGTTAACTTGGGTATACTACTATTACAAGTAATAGAAGGGCAGGGTTATGGTGGATAGTACCCCACTGGCACCAGCTTTGGAACCTTGTCGGAAATATATATTCCAACAGGGCTCAGTTTAGTGACTACTAATTGTTACTATTGATTCTAGTACTGTCAGTGTACGCAACTTACTAGTACTAACACATTCATATTCTGATCACCTGGGCAAGTTTAATTGCCGCCACTTTCATAAACTACTAGTTTACCCGTTAACATAGGGCGCCGATACTCATAGTGCCAAGATATGATGACTCAGGATGATCCGCCACAATCACGGTCACGCCTTCAGCAAGATCGAGCGATCGACTAGCCTGATGGATGCACGCCAATCTGCTACGTCTATCGCACATCGATGACAACTCCTCACAGAGGCAGCGGGACACCTTATGACAGCGCCCCGATCCCGATGTCCTCTTCTTTGAATACCGACAATTCTGAGCCCGAAGACGTTGACTTCTCACTGTTCTTGAATCTAGACGGCCCACAGACCGACCGATGTGCACATGATGATCTAATCAGATCCGAATCCCAATCTGTGACTTGGGACCAGGGGACACTTATGTGTTATGCCGAGGCATCAGTCAACGTAGACAATTGGTGCCCGAATGACCTTACGGAGGGTTGGCCTTGCCAAGATATCTTCCAGTATGAGGCCCACCCCAACGGAGACAGCTCGGGGCAACAAACGGCTGCTTCCTCGCTTTTCGCCTTTTCAGAAAGATCTTCAGTTGCAGGTGAAGTCTCGTCGGACAACAATCCTTCTGCCGAACTTCCCAATAAGGCCAAGAAGAGTAGACGCCTCCCTTCGGACGCCGTAAGGGTTCTACGGTCCTGGTTCTATGAAAATCAAGGCCATCCATATCCCACCGATCAGCAAAGAGAAGAACTGGAACGACAGACTGGGCTGAATAAAAGCCAGGTCTTCAACTGGTTCGTGAACGCGAGGCGCCGTAAATTACCCAAAAAAGATGCTACACGCGATATCAACTCCATGGACCACAAATTACTCTCTCCATTTGAACGATGGCAGCACTCACCACCCGAAAACGAGCCAGCTGCAGCAACCGACATTCTACGAGCAGCGGAAAATACGCCGTTTTCCCACCATGCTGGTGATACCATGCCGTACAACAACCTCAACGGCTGGTCAAGTAGTAGCGCGACCAGTTCATTTCAATTCGGAGCATCTTCAATAAGCAGTGATAATCGAAGTCACTCATCTGCTTCTGCACGATCTTCTCAACTATCGAGTGGTCCCTACCAAAGACCACCCACCCCACTCCCGAAGATGGGATTTAGTCGTCCCCGCCGCAAAGCCAGACGTTCCGCTAACCGCTTGGCCCAGTCGACGGCGCCTGAACGTCGCGCCTACCAGTGTACTTTTTGCGCAGACTCATTTCGGAGCAAATACGACTGGCAGCGACATGAGAAGGCACTCCATCTCTCGATCGAGCGGTGGAACTGCGCGCCGGCAGGTGGTATAGTTGAGATTAACGGGCTGAACATCTGTGTCTTTTGCCGTGCGCCTAGTGAGAATGCTGGTCATCTCGAAACGCACGACTACCTCGCATGTCGAGAAAAACTGCCTGAACATCGCTCATTTTCGCGGAAAGATCACCTAGTACAGCATCTCCGCCTGGTTCACAGCGTACCTTATCATCCGTCGATGGACGAATGGCGAGTCTCAACTGCTACACTTCTATCGCGGTGCGGATTCTGCGACTCGAGATTCACAAGTTGGAAAGAAAGAGTCGAGCACGTGGCCGAGCACTTCAAGAATAAAGCAGACATGTCTCAGTGGGTGGGTGATTGGGGCTTCGAGCCGCATATTCAATGCCTGGTGGAAAATGCAATGCCGCCTTATCTGCTTGGTCTGGAGCGCCGCACAATGGATCCCTGGAAAGCGTCTGTGATGGAACAGGAACATCTTGAAAATAGGTGTTCGTTGGGCGATAATAAGGCCCCGGAAGCCTTGGATCGTTATTTCAGTGTCCGCCAGGATCTAGTCACCTATCTCCAGGGCCAGATTGCAGCGGGCAATGATCCTTCGGATCAGATGATGCAAGATCATGCTCGTATGTTTGCGTATGGGAATGATGATCCTTTTAATCAGACATACGCAGATCAACCGGGATTCCTGGCGACTCTCAGGCGTGATGTTGCCAGTGGTTTAACGTTAGGAAATGAAATCAATGAAGAGGACGAAAGAGACAGGTCGGCTGTTCTTGAATTCTGATATGTCTATATAGAATAGCTCGAATTCCACAACAGATGCACATATAGTTGGGTCGAGAACAAATTGAAAGGCCCAGTGCCTACGTTGTTATTCCAACCCCCCTCCCGCTGTACTGGTAGAAACCACTCGGTCAGTCGGTCGCAATCACATCGAGAACCTTTCAACTACCCTTATCAAGTAATTAGCCCACCGAGGAGCCCTCTAGATGTGCCCTTGTAGCCCCATGAATCTACCATTCGTTGTTTTTACCGTGTCAACTTGTGGGGTACCCTAGGATACCCCCACCGACCGTCGAAGAGTTGTCAGAGGATCTTCCCGAGGAGGGGTTCGCGTCTCCAAGCATGTGGCTACCCAATAGAATGTAACGAACGTAGCGATCTGAGGCCTCCCATCTCTCAAACAGGATTCTCGCAGATACTGGACGTAAATCGAGCATCGAGGTGTTCGTCTCGTGGAGGGGGACGCGGGGTATTGTGCACGTTAGGCGCCTAGGACGTGGTGCTCGCAATTCTTGCGAGTGCACGAGTTCTAGTACAAGGAGTGGTCAACTTATAGGCTCTCGAGTTAATGGAAAGTGACTTCACTTGTTCCACTCGGAGTTTTGAGGTGATTGTTAGTGATTCTCTCCACCAGAACAAGGTTTGCACGTCCCCATACGACGGTCCTTAGCTGGTCGATCGCGAGTTTAGATTTCCAAAACATTGGAGCTTTATCCTCCAGTGAGATGAAAGGCGCGGTCGCATGACCCAGCCCTTGTGCCTCTGGTTGATCTTGCGTGCTGGTTGGTCATTGTCGTCGCGGACCACGCTGTAATGTCAGTATTGTGACCATGCCAACATGACACAAAGCCAGTAATACTGTCTGATTGTGGTCGAAGGCATTGAATGCTTCAAAATCACGTAAAGTATGGGCTGGCTCTATTTCGAGCCCTGGCTGGCATTGTGTAGGTGCGTCGTGTCCAGTTCTGAGTTGTGAATGTCAATGTCAATGTCAACTCAACTCTGCAACGCAACTTGATCACGCGTGAAATCCACAGAGGAGAATGGAATGGAATGTTGACTGGGGACGAGAAAATGATCTCCTCACAATTCCGTCTGAAAGTGGTATCCCATCCCGGCAACGGACTCCGTATCTCCAGCAAGTAATTCGGTGCTTCAGTGGATCCGTGAGGGCCTTTTTCTCCAACTCCAACAACCTCCTCACCCGAAAAGAAAACAAGGTGGGCGCAGTAGAGAGAGCGGGTCCGGTGAAGTTGGAGAAGAAGGAGAAGGGTAAAGGGCGAAGGCCGAAAGTCGGCAGAAGGACGGAGATCGATCGGGAGGTCCCCCGCGGTGGAATTCAGGGGCCGGAATCACGGCATCTTTAGTATCTCCAGCTGTCCGGAGGAGAGTTTCAATTGCCGCTGGTTGACCCCATTTTAGTCTCTCCGCGGCGCGTGGAATCATGCTTCTTTTTTTCTTAAAAAAAAAGAATTAAATAAAAATAATTTTAGGTCAACTGTTTGCGTGGCAGCTACCCCGCTGAGGGGTAGCTGACATAATGAGGGGTAAATCCGAATGGGGTAAGGTTGCTCTGTGAGTTAATGCAGTATTGGATGGGCTGACTGTGGGATGTGCAGCGGTACATGCCGGTCCAGCGTGAAACAGACTATTGTGGTCGATCGTGCGATAGTATGTAACACCGAGGATGCTTGTTGTACATAGTAGATCGCCTATCTACAGCTAGAGCCCCAAAAATGAGCTACCCCGCATGTACCATGTACATGTATTATGGCCGCAAGACCAACTATCAATGGAGTCTAATGCTGTTTGTACAACATCAAATCTTAACTGTAGCTACATAGAACATGAAGATGTATACAAGCTATAGATGGGGACCTTACTAGTGGCTTAGGCTGACTGGTGGAGCCCAGAACAATCCAAATGGATAGGGAAAACACGAACCACAAAGTCTCCTCCCCCTCCTGTCCCTCGTGCGGAGAGATGAGCTTTGGCCGTGAGTGGCTCGTTTCCCCATCCACCGGACCCCCGACCGACAGCCCCGTCCCGTTTGCGTTGGAACTGGGATCTGAGGGGAGTACAGCGTGTTTTGGGTTCGGGATCCATCCACACACATTGTCTCGTCTCCAGTTGTGGTGGTGGTCTAAGGAGGGGCTCGCAGAGAGGGGCCTTTCGTCTATATAACAGGCTTGCCTAGCCGGTCATCCAACTCTTTTTTCTTCTCTCTCTCATCATCATCATCATCTCAACCTCTTTACTTCCACTTTCCACCTCACTTTAAGGTATGCCAAACCCAAATCGATCTATCTTTCCTCCCCCCCGCCCTTTACCATAGCCTATTGTATGGCCTGCATGGTTCTCCACTCTCCCCGCTCCTCGCATTAGCCGCCTCGTTCTCCAACGCCGTTTTAGGCGATTGACTTCATCGACCACCGGTTTTCCCGGGGGTCGCTATTATGTATAAAAGGCATTCGCTGACCTTCTCTAGCTTCGTGCTTTCACTATCTTCTACTCTTCCATCCTAAAACATCATTCACAATGGTATTTATCCGTTCCCTTTCCCAGCTTCGACGGCCTGCCGCCCAATTTATCTCCGGCTCTCTCAAGCCAGCTCCCCTCGGATCCTTCGCCAGGACTCCAGTGGCTGGTGCTTTTTCCAATGCCCGTACGCTAACCGCATCTGCCAATCTTCAGGGCAAGGTTCTTTTGGTTCTCTACGACGTAAGTGATTCTTTCCGACAAATGTCGAATTGATTGTACAATGTTCCGATGACTGATTGTATCACAGGGTGGTGAGCACTCCAAGCAGCAGCCTGGTCTTCTCGGTACCACCGAGAACGAGCTTGGTATTCGCAAGTGGCTCGAGGATGCCGGTCACACTCTGGTGACCACCTCCGACAAGGAGGGTGAGGGCTCCACCTTCGATAAGGAGCTTGTCGACGCTGAGGTTATCATCACTACTCCGTTCGTCAACCCTTCCCCAGCCAACAATCATACCATGCCATGAATATCAGCTAACATGTCCGATCCCTCAGCTTCCACCCTGGATACCTCACTGCCGAGCGCCTCGCCAAGGCCAAGAACCTCAAGCTGGCTGTCACCGCTGGTATTGGTTCCGACCACGTCGACCTGAACGCCGCCAACAAGACCAACGGCGGTATCACCGTCGCCGAGGTCACCGGCTCCAACGTCGTCTCCGTCGCCGAGCACGTCGTCATGACCATCCTCCTCCTGGTCCGCAACTTCGTCCCCGCCCACGAGCAGATCAAGCGCGGTGACTGGGATGTTGCCGCCGTTGCCAAGAACGAGTTCGACCTCGAGGGCAAGGTCGTCGGTACCGTCGCCGTCGGCCGTATCGGTGAGCGTGTCCTGCGCCGCCTCAAGCCCTTCGACTGCAAGGAGCTCCTGTACTACGACTACCAGCCCCTGTCCGCCGAAGCCGAGAAGGAGATCGGCTGCCGTCGCGTCGAGAACCTCGAGGAGATGCTCGCCCAGTGTGACGTTGTCACCATCAACTGCCCCCTGCACGAGAAGACCCGCGGTCTGTTCAACAAGGACCTCATCTCTAAGATGAAGCCCGGTGCTTGGCTCGTCAACACCGCCCGTGGCGCCATCGTCGTCAAGGAGGACGTCGCCGACGCTCTCAAGTCTGGCCACCTCCGCGGATACGGTGGTGATGTCTGGTTCCCCCAGCCCGCTCCCAAGGACCACCCTCTCCGCTACGCCGAGCACCCCTGGGGTGGCGGTAACGGCATGGTCCCCCACATGTCTGGTACTTCCATTGACGCCCAGATTCGCTATGCCCAGGGTACCAAGAACATCCTGGACAGCTACTTCTCTGGTCGCGAGGACTACCGCCCTGAGGACTTGATTGTTCACAAGGGTGACTATGCTACCAAGGCTTACGGTCAGCGCAAGTAAATCTGAACTAAAAAAGTTTTGCGACCTAACACCAGACTGGCCGGTTTTATGATTTTCCTTTTATGATTGTTCATAGTTCGTTTTCATGATGACGATTTATCTTAGCGGTAAAATATCACAATATCACATATTCTTAAACCGAAATTATTTTACTATGGTCTATCTAGTGATTTAAGGATATTTGTTGCTTAGTATTACACCGGATACCGAGGAGTAATAGGTACATTTTAGTTTTACAAGTATGGACGAAAGCATCTGTCGCCCACGGGGGACTTCAATCGGCCACGTCTTGGGATGTCAGAACAACCAACGACGGTCAACTTCCCGGCGATCGTGACCTAGACGTGGAACGTTCCCTAGGACCACCTCTGCTATTTTGTACGTTGGTATTTTTGCCTCAACAGATAGTGGGTCAACGCCATTGCAAGCTTTATAGGTGACTAACCCTAATGGTGCTATAATATTGTATCATCCTGAACAATATTTCTCTAATATTCTCATTCTACAGGGGAACATAAAACCATAGACAGTCATCCGAATTATCACAAAACATCAGTATGGGCGAAATAGAACTAATTGGATTTGTGGGCGTTGATCAACACTTGGCCCGTAGGTCATGTCCTTGGCTAAGTTCTTTTCCCTTTGGACCAGTCAATAAGCTCATCCCATGTCATACCTAAATGTTGACTAATATTTTGTGCCCCTTTCTCTAAAGCAGGAATTCTTGGAATCTGGCCGGATCCTGATGGCGCGGAGTTACCATTTGGATCTGCACCTGAAAGAAGAAGAAACTGGATCATCTCAGCAGCTTCTTTGGTCGTTTTTGTTGCAGACTCGTGTAATGCGGTTCTCTGACCTGGTCCTTGCTCTTTAAAATCCACATCAACTCCCAGTTCAAGCAAGCTCTTGGCCATCGCAATGGAATTAGTTCTTGAAACCACCTTTCGAAAAGTGCTGCCGAGCTCGATGCCTCGTAATGCCCTGCTAAGTTTTCTCGGAAATTCTTCTCTCTCCAGAGATTCGCTAGGCGTTTTTGTTTAACCGAATCTTTCACGGAAGAAATGAGATCCCAGTGGGCCACATAAGCAAATTCTTTCAGTTGATTATGCAGAAAATGCTTTGTCCACATGTTGAAAATCTCAGTCGAGTCTGAGTTGACTCCGAGTTGCATGATTTATTGCAGCCTACGACTGTTCGAATCTTGCAAGTGCCTCTCTGTGAAAACTCGAGGACCAGCCCAGTCCAAAACATCCAGATTCTCGCCTTTAATAGACTCAAAAGCGATTTCATGGTGTATATGCGTCCTTTTGAGCCTTGGAGCAGCGCTTTGGAGAAGGGTTATGACGATTGACAGCGGGGCAGACATTGCAGCATCCTTGATTAGCCTTTTCTGAACCGCTATATCCAGGTTCTTGAAATACCCTGACAAGGCCCTTATCTCACTTTCTTTGCCCATGTGGATTAGATCAGACACCAATGGTACATATTCATCTTGATCCGGATTTCCAGTCAATTGGATCGGCCTTAGGGGGGCATCAAGATGACATTTGCCTAAGTGCTTATCCAACTGACTCTTAGAGGCGAAGCCAATTGACGAAAATTCACACATTGAGTGGGTGCATTTGTATGGGCGATCATGCTTTTTGCAGTGGGCTTCAGACTGAGATTTGGACTCGAAGGCAGTCTGCTGAGGTTGACAGATCGTATATTTGCATCGAAAAAGCTTTTCACCATAATGCCCTTGCAAATTGCGACAGCTGCAATTGGCGGTATGAGTTGGCCCTGGACATAACAGGGATTCAAATTCTTTATGGATTCTCATTGCAGTATTTGATATTGTCAGCGGATCTGAAGCTGTCCACGAGTCATCTAAGTCCACAGCCCCTTTTTAGCTCATTTCTTGCATCAACGATGTTGTAGAATAGGGAGGGAATTCACATACCCTCATAATCCAGTTTCCAATTACCAGTATCAAGATGCCAAAATTTGAGCGTTTGGTCAAGTAGCCTATATATTTCTGGGTGCTTACCCTTGAAAGCCTCAAAATGATCACTCGACCAATCGCCATAGCTGGAGGAGCTATCTTGGAAGGTTGTATTTTCGCGACGTTCCCCAAAAGTCTTCAGTGTAGTGATCAAATCATCCGGTGGGGCCCGATCATGAAGTGATATTGCACAATGTCGAAGTATCTCCACCCACTGTGTAGATGCAAACCAATGTAGACGATACGCTCCTGACAGTAAATTCTCTTTGATTTGTTGATCCTCAATTTCAGGATCAAAGATATCAAGGCATAGGTAATGCAAGCATGTCTTGGTCATTTCAAGATTCGCTTCTAGCATTTGAACGAAATTGTTCCTCTTCCGGGAAATGAGATACCTATGAATGTTAGATTTTCATGATACATAGACAAAGAATATCTGAATATACTTACTCTTTTACGGTGAAGTGTACGAAATGCACATAGTCACCAGATCTCTCAACAATAGGACCACAAAGCTGAATTGCATTGAGTAACCATTCAGCTCGAGGCAATTTTCCACCAAAATTTGATTCTATACTCAGAGCACAGGTCAGCTCTTGGATTTTAAGAGGTATTGGCGAGCATGCAATCCAGCCCAACGCTCGCCGAGAAAGCTCTGTAAGTTGTGGATAATCGTTGAGACGTTGAAGAATACGGGCGTATCTAAGCATGGTTCTTATCGTCAGAAACATGGACCGAAGGGATGAAAAAGGCTTCTCACGCTGCTTCGAGATTCTCTGGGAGTGCTTTCAGTTCCTTCTGAATCTGGTCTATATTTAACGCCGTGCAGTCAGGCTGACTGTACCAACCCTTTTGGGATAGTGAATCAGTGGGAAAGGGTATTGGTGGTTTCATTTCATATTCAAGGACCAAACATCTCAGCTTGATAGGTATATTTATTGAATGGTGGTAGATTGTGAATTGTCACGGGCGCATTCCCGCTTGACAGATCGTAAATATCGATTATGCGGTCGCTGAAGCCATGGAAGCATTGTTTTATAATTGAATGACGAGAATTCAAATTGAATACTCCGTATACCTTTGGGTGTTAAGTAAAGGTAGTTCAGGCTGCAGTAAACATCTCCAGAGTGGGCGCCTTGCTGGGTATGTATTTTCCCTTTGAGACGTTGAACTGACAGAGCTGTCCCAAGGCAGTGGTGAAACTGAGGAGCTTCGTTTGCCACTTGGTTCGATTGGGGATAGCTCCATCCCCGCTACATTTTTGGGTTGGGCATCGTATTTCCCCCTGCTTCATCTTCTTGAGGGTATAAGGCCACCATCCGCTATCACCGTACGATATCATTGGTGAGAATGACCTGGGCCCACTTGAAAGAACGAACGGGGTTCGCACCCCAATTGGTATTGGAGGCAGGGCAAAACGTGAGAAAAAGGGGCTCGTGAGGCGGCTGGTTACATTGGAGATGGGGGCGCCTACTCTCGGGGAGCCCGAATCAACCGTCAAACACCAATAGCACATACTCAAACGCCAGATCAGCAAGAGATCAAGAACAAGTTACTCTCTCCGGATCCATGTTCGATTGGATCGGGAACTTTTTCTCTGGCAACGCATCCACAAACCGGAGGCGTAACCGTGCCAGCAGAGCACACCGCAAGAAAGCAAGGTCTCGAGAACGCGAATTGCGGTGGGTGTACAATAATGAGGATGCCGCGAGTTGATTTTTCTACTGGGGGTCGCCGGGAGGCGAACAAGGACCAACGGAGGAGGCGATAAGAAAGCGTCGCGAAAAGCGCTAAGAAATTCCATGCCAGCTAGCGCAATCAACCTCAGCTATGTTCTTTAGAAAGCAGGGAATATCTGGCAACAATCGAAGTGATCTGGGGCGCATGACTGATTCCACGACGCGAATTTTTCTTTGTGTTCTGCCAAGTCACAAGTGGGTAAACAGTTATCTCTTCCAAGAGATAAGGTTCTCCTAAGCTTTCTAGACCTCTGGAAACTCCCGAAACTTGTGGGCTGGAGAGGAAGAAAAATCCACACGTGGGAGAAATCAGACCACTTCACCACATCAGATGATAGCCGATGGTTGTCCATATAATGAATAATGAAGATTTTATGTATATAAATTTATTGAATCCCTGTCAAGCCCAAATCTCCTCACTTCTCTATTAGCAGGGTTGTCCCGATCACCCCAACCCGAACGGCCAATAAGCTGTGCCGTGTGTAGTTTCGAGGTGGCAAGCGCCAGCGCCAGTTTTGGTATCAGTGAACCGGACTCCGGGCGTGAAGGTTTGCTGATTGGTCCCAACAGAGTTGACTACTAGTTTAGACAAGGAAACGCTTTATCTCCGTGAAACTTTCCCCCGCATCGCCTTAAATAAACCCACGTGAGATGGACCATCCTATGTTGAAATTATTTAAAGGCCGTTCATTTCCCGCTCACTCGTTACATCTGGCCACAATTGTCTCCTCCAGATGGCTTACGATCCAGAGAAGGGCCTTGATGAGGCTAACATTATCACTGTTGACGAAAACTCCTCGGGCAGATCTGCCGACAATGAGCTTGCCGCGCGAGAGACCGGCCCGCTCGCCAGGATGAAAGCTTTTGAGGCTCGAATGGACAAGAAACTAGGCATTGAGTCTGAAGCTATTACCCGCAAACGCCCCGAGGATAAAAGAAAAGTCCATTGGGTTGAAGAATTGTCCATGGCGTTGCTGTGGGCTAGTGGCACGATGAACACATCTTGTTTCGCGACGGGATTCCTTGGATGGGAGTTCGGGTTGACTCTCAAACAATCAATCTTACTCACTATGTTCGCTTCCCTGATTGCTGCCTCACTCACCGGGTATTGCGCAACTTTTGGCGCCGCGACTGGTTTGCGCCAGATTAGTGTCAGCCGATACAGTTTCGGCTGGTGGCCAAATAAGCTGGTCGCTCTTTTGAACGGTATTCAGCAACTTGGATGGGCAGCTGTTTCATGTATTACCGGAGGTCTGGCCTTGACTGCTGTTTCGGATGGTCATCTCTCTTTGATTCTTGGAATCGTCATTTTGGCTGTCGTCGCATTAATCATCTCTTTTGTGGGATTGAACGCCATTCTGATTTATGAGCGATGGGCCTGGCTGGCTTTCTTCATCATCTTCATGATCATCTTTGGAGAGACTGGAAAATATGCCGATAACACATCACCTCCTAAATACAGCGGACTTTCTTTCTCTGGCGCGTGTCTGAATCTGTTCGCGGTTGTTTATGGATCCAGCGCCTCCTGGTGCACAATGGCCAGTGACTACTATGTTCACTATCCTACCAATGTGAGTCGCGTCAAAGTATTCTTGATGACGACTTTTGGCGTATGTATCCCCACTTCCATTGGCATGGTAGCTGGCTGCGTCGTTGCTTCAGCTTTAAACAACAAACCCGAGTGGTCCGATGCATATGATCAAGGAGTAGGTTACCTGATCCAGGAAATGCTGTATCCGCGGGGATTCGCCAAGTTCCTGCTCACCCTTCTCGTTCTATCCGGTATCAACGTCAACGTCATCAGCATCTACAGTTCTGCCATCTCTTTCCAACAAATAGCACGGCCCTTCGCTCGTCTCCCCCGATTTTTCTGGACGCTTTTCTGCTTTGTCTGCATTCTTGCATTGTCTATCGGTGGGCGGCAAGAGCTCAACACGTATCTTCAGGATTTCCTGAGCTTGTTGGGATACTGGTGCACGAGCTATGCTGTTATTCTTTTCGAGGAGCACTACATCTTTCGCAAGGGCAACTTTGCCAACTACGATTTGGAAGGGTGGAATGATCCAGCCCGACTGCCTTTGGGTATTGGTGCGGGTATCGCATTCGGACTTGGAATTGTGGCGTGGTGTATGGGCATGGATGAGACTTGGTTCGTTGGACCTCTTGCTAACTTGATTGGAGATACTGGAGGGGATATTGCCAACCAGTTCACGTTCGTCGTGACGGCTCTGACCTATCTACCGGCAAGATACTTGGAAATGAAGTATTTTGGGCGGTAAATGGATTGTTATTGTATGATTAACCTTGTATAGTGGAGTTATAGTAATGCATGTGTACTTGATAGTGTTTCTTGCTGAAGACTCAGGTCCAAATACAAGGAGTAGTACTGTTCCACATCTATATTAATATCATAAATATGCCACAATGTCATTTCATTACCTACAGGCTATATATACTGTACTGAGACCTTGCTAAAGCCTGCAGGCTTTTGGGGCTGGGCTGATTGAGGCCCCAATTTGGCGGGTCGGGCAGCCTGACCTAACACAATCTCATATTGTCCATGACTACCTTCGCGTAAAGAAACATGCCTTCATAGGTGAGCAGACCGTAGGAAGTGTGTACATGACGTTTAGTGAGACATACGGACCTTTGGATTTTGCCGGTAGTGAAGACAGCAGAAGACCCATTATTTCTGAGCGAATGTCCTTCTCAAATTCGGATTCTCCTAGCCATTTTTGGGTTTCTGCGGACACATAAGCTTGGATACAGCCGCGGTTTTTGTCGTCAACTCGAATCACTCTTGGTCCAGACTTTTTCAACAGTTTGGAAATATCGTCTTCTGCTCGACTGCTGACAAGAAGCTTTGTCTCGGTCGAGTCACGCAGTATCTCTAGAAGCTCATTCAAAACTGTCCGACGTTCAATTTCGGAAATCTCATCCAATCCGTCAATGACAATGTAATTTGGCCCTGCAAGTTTCAGAAGTTCTGACAAAGTTTGTCGAGCAGCTTTTGTATTGCTTTTCAGATTCCTTTGGTCCGATTGGAATTTGTCAAAAAGCGTAGCTCTGAGATTCTTTTTGACAGCCTTGTCAAAGTCCTTGTCGCCAATCACGAGCTGAAATAGTAGAGAGTGTAATATCGAGATTATGTTCACGTTGGCGCGCTTGTAGCTCAGAAACGCAAATAATGTGACGCTTGATAATTGTCTCAACCGGTCCACAATGAGAGATGCTATATGAGTCTTCCCTATATGAATTCTTTTAGTATTCTAGTTCTCCATCCAGACCTCTAGGCCATCACGTGTACTATGGGGACACAAGGCGATAGCAAGTAATCTAACATCTCGACACAGTATGATACGTACCTGCTCCTGGTATTCCCTCTAGCCAAAGGAGTCTCGCAGACGTATTGCAGGCATCGAACCATTCCTCCCAGGCCTTTTCTCTTTCTAGCCAGCGTCCGGTTCTGTCACAGACAGATCTTAACAGCTTGTCTAAATCATCATCATACAGCACTGGTGAAAAATAAGACTCCATTTGGCCAAACTCCTGTCTTTCCTGATACTCCAAGTCTTGTTGGCATTTATCCAGTTGGGTGATCCGGGATTGATGGGCTTCCGTGATATGCTCGAGGTTGATCTTTTCATTAAGTAAAAGGCAGTGGCGCTCAATATTTCTAATGACAGCGGTGATCGTATCCTTTTGTCTCGACCAAACAGATTCAAAGATCATTTTCCAGTCTGCTCCACCCAACTTTCAGTCAGTTAAATACAGATTAGAGTAAGCAGTTAGAGTTGAGACATACGCTTTGCGGAGAAAAGGTTCATTGCGACCCCATAAAAGTCTAGGATGTCTCTGTAGAACAATGCCAACGCATCCACAACCCCATCACTTTCGCTAAAAAGCTGTGAATAGGATTCGAAGAGGGGCAACTTGTCTCCAATTGCTTCCATGGTATCGAGAATTGCATCAAATGACTTTGACAGGCTATCTGCGAATTGCAAGAGAAGCTTGATAGGACCCCATATCAATGCCAGAATATCGGGCTTAACCTGGACAAAAACCTCGATCACAGAGGTATACTGCATCAGTCGGTCTAGATATTGGTTTATCTTGCGCAGGTTTCGAAGACCATGCCGCTTACTTTGGTCATGCTGGAGTTTTCTCACGAAATCATAGATGTCTTCTATCGAGGTGACGTTTGAAACGTGATCGATAAGCGCAGGGTCTTTAAGTGAGGACAAAAATCTTTTTTCGCGTTCAGGAACGCCTCAGAGAGACGAGGATAAGTGATGGCACCTCGCGCAACACTGATCGTCACCACTGTATCCAGTATGATATTCCCGTAACAGAATTCAAGAAGACTCGCTGACACCCCCAAGCAATCCATGGATGGCAGAAAGAAATTGAGAAGTACATTTATGTCTACTCTCTCTTTTCTTCGTGTACTAAATTATGTTGGAATAGACACATCTGGCCAGGCAAAATGTCCTTGGAAATTTATCATGGTTCAACCCGACGCAGATATCCATCAGCAGGTCTTTTGGAGAATGACGTTGTTATCACCACTTATGATACCCTAAAAAGCGAGTGGCGCAATCAATCTGAAGATAGCGTCTTGTTTCGCAAATCTGAAATGTGGGCTCGCGTTGTTCTCGATGAAGGTATGTTTTATTAGATATTTCTTTGACTTGTGCCTTCCCTAATTACTAATTTTCACGCGTGTAGCCCATCGAATACGTAATCGCTCTTCAAAAACCTTTGAAGCCACCTGCGCTGTTCCCTCACTGAACCGGTGGTGCTTAACAGGAACCCCGACACACAACAAGCTAGATGATTTCGGAGCCTTACTGTCTTTTATTGGTGTTCCTCCTTTTGAAGGCCAAAGAGGCAGGGCATCCTTCGATTACTGGATCAATTCTCCCACGAAAACCTCTATTGAAGACTCACATGGTCTTGATCGCTTGAGGACACTGGTTTCCACAACTTGCCTGCGACGAATGAAAGATTCTGTACAAACTCAATTGAAGCTCCCTCGACGTATTGAGAGGGAGCATCTTGTTGAATTGGATTTGACAGAAGGCAAGTTGTATAACTTCTTCAAGTCTCAAGCTTCTCGCGTTGTGACTGGCAGGTTGACACACGGTAGCATGGTAAGTCAGGCACACCCGGGTGGCATTCTGCCATTGATCAACCTTTTGAGATACATATGCAACCACAGAGAAGCGCTTTTGCCTTCTTCTGCGGCAGAACTATGGAAAAACAGGACTGTATCATCATTCAGTTCGAGAACAGAGGCGGAGATTTCAGAACCTACGACCCTGGAGAGCCAATGCCCCCAAAATTCAGAGTTTCATTACAACCCCTCCACAAAGGTCAAGGCCCTGATTACGAATCTTGGAAATGAGCAAGGAACAAATTCTCGTGAAAGTGGAGAGCTACCAATCAAAAGGTAAGAGAGATCAAATGCATTCGTCCACAGCACTTCTGGCTTTTCGGTTCTACTTTTCTCTTTTTTCCCACCCGGGTACCAGGAAGTCTTGTTGACAGAAAATAAATCATCAGTGTCATATTCAGCTGCTGGACGAAGATGCTCAATTTAATTGAGCCTGCGCTACAGAGAAACCATTTTAACTTTGAGCGTATTGATGGCGACACGCCTCTGCCACAGCGAGTTATAGCACTTGACCGATTCAACGGAACTCCGAGTTGTACAGTTATGATTGCTACTATCGGAAGTATTGCTGAGGGGTAAGTAGCTTCACGACGCAGGTTTGTCTTGAGGTAATTTGCTAACTTCAAAGCAACAAGAGTTAATCTTACTGCGGCAAATCATGTCCACATCGTCGAACCACAATGGAACCCAATGATAGAGGCGCAGGCGCTAGATCGAGTGCATCGTTTTGGCCAAACACGCGATGTAGTAGCAACAAGATACATTGTCAAAAATTCTATTGAGATAGTGAGTCCTTCCTCAATCACTGCTGGAGGGATTCTTACCTCGTCAATGAGTGGTGATATTAACATAAATACTCGTTATTTAGTATGTGCAGGATCTTCAAAAAGCCAAATTAAAACTTGGACAACAATCACTTGGAGATAAGTCTCTTTCTCAGACAAATCTTGATGAGAACTTGAATAATCTGAAGGTATATTTCCTGGAAGGTTATATGCAGCAGTCACGACTAACAATCCTGAAGAAATTTCTAGACATATCGGCATAGAATTTAGTTTTAAAAGGATACTCTTATAGATACTGTGGCTTTGGCGACCTGGAAATCAAATTAGGCCCTAAGCAAGGTAATGTATCTCTAGAGTCCTGTAAAAGGTGGCGATTCGAGGCTATTCTCTTTCCAGGGAAGAATGAAGCCTTCTATGATCACAGAACAGTAACCAGAGGCTTCTTTCGATAAACGCTGCTAAAGTCCATAACAAATCACTATACCAGCCAGGTCTCAATGGAACACTCCCTAGGCAAAAACCGACGTGCGGAAACAAAAAGCTTTTCCCGTGCTAAACAAGGTACACAAGGCATGTTATAAATAGAATGCATAGGCTGGTTTCCTCGCAATCCAAAGATCACGTCCACAAGATCCAAACTTGGACCGATTGTACCTTCTAGGCAGTCATGACTGAGTTCCGTACACAGGGAGTTGTCCACATCGTTTTCTGAGTGTTTGCACTGGTCTCTTCCGGCCGCCGATAGGAGAGAGCGTGCTTGAGGCAATTTTCCTTCTTCTAACACGAAATCATCATCTTTGACTGAGGCCAGGTGCGAGGACATGCTATCGCCAGTCTGGAAAGGGCAAGTTCAGACTACGGTGACAGATATTTGAGCCGTAAGGGTTCCGGTTCTTGTGTGGATATAGTGATACCCGAACATAAATCCTTGTTGGGAAAACTGGTGCATTGCTTTAGAGGTGTGCTGTCTGCAAAGGAATGTGGTCAGGTGACAGCTTACTTTCCTGAAGTTACAGGTGGAAAGGCGGCTGTTTCCGACAGCAAAGGAGACTATTTTTGGCTTCGATTTCACGGGTCCTCCATATTTTAGTCGTAATTGCTTCTGTAACGCAGGGGCTCTGTATCTGCCAAATGATCGAAGTGGGGCGCACTGTCGATCTATCAATAGATTGACAGGTCCAGAACAAAGACCACAGTTTGAGTGGATCCCATAGTTTTCTTTGGTATTCTGACAGGTTCAAAATCGATCGATCGATCGTGGATGTCGATCAAAACTTTGGAATTCATTGTCAAAATGAGCTTTCATTCCTGGGGTTTGACCGTAAATTGTTATACTCGCCTCTATGTATCCAATTTCCTCTAAGAAAAGTGAAACCCGAATATAATGCACGAAGTGTTTGGACAAGAACCAATCTATAGTCAAATAATTGAACCAATATCAAATATGCAGATTCGCTGTAGATATGAAGAGAGGGAAGAAAACAATGGCCGCCCAGGAAATAAAATATGAACAGGAACTGGAAGATAGAATAGCGCAGAGCAATCAATGTTGGCCATGTGCGCCTCTCCTCCCACCATGCTCTTCTTCATCACTATCATCCATAAAACCTTCTTCTAATTCTCGATTGAGGCGACTTGTCGAGTCGCCCGATATCCCGCGCCGTTGTTCTAAGGCCTCCCGGCGTACGGAATCCATAGTCATTCCGGTCATGAGTTCCCCTTCCTCCTCATCTATGCTGATATTATCGTGGTCGTCAAGGTGCGTCCCTCGCCTCCACGAGGATGGGAGAAAAAGGCGCATGGCTGTATCGGCTATGCGATCGCGCAGCGACAGTGTATGGGCCGAAATAGCATGCAGGGGTAGGTATTGGGAATAGCGCTGTTGGTAACGTCGGAGGAATGGTATGATCAGGAATGAGAAAAGGAGGTAGACTGTCAATGCAATTGATGCGGGAATAAGGATTGTCTGGGAATTCATTGTTAGATAATTGGTCTTCATTAATTCGGGGGCCGTTTTTTGAGGGATGATGACGAGGCTGTGACACAAAGGAGGAGCGAGGGGGACAAGCGAACCTTTGCAAAGCCCATAGAGGATCCCATTTTGAAAGTCAATCCTCTGGAATTCCAAGAAGCTGAAATAAGACAGGAAAATCAAGGCTTTGGGCGACTGAGTATGAGTTGTAGTTGTTCTGTTTACCGTCCTGGTATCGGGCCGGGGAGTAGAGCGGCGTCGGGATCGGCAATATGCATTGAGTCAGGTGTCAGTTATCCTCCCGTGTAGAAGTTGAGGACCGTCTGATTCAAAGAAACTGTAACATCTCCAGCAGAACAGCAATGTTCTACTCTGTTCTCACAGAGAGGTGTGTTTCAATGTTCAACTTTCCCCGATCCCCACAAGGGAAGCCTGGGAGATATCATGACTAAGCACGGATTAACTGTCGACCGGATATTTAGGGGGTTATCAGACACACGCCCGTGCTTTGATCGACCCTGGCGTCAGGAATCACTGGGACTTGCATATTGCAACCCTCTCCGGTTTCATATTTCTGGATTTGATTTTCTTTGTGTGGTAGGTAACCGATAAGCTACCTCCCGTCATTGATCCCTCTGATTCAGGGTTACTGCGTCAGTCACAACCGAACCGGGTATACTAAACTAGCCAGGGAGGGACAAAAACACCACTTCGGACTATCGTGAATGTCACCATTTTCGTCCACCAGATCCATAGCGATCGACCCCGCTACGGCTTGTACATCGATTTTACAACCTCCCACCCTCTCCAAGTGTGCTAAGGGAGCGCTCTTTATGCTGCTCCCTGCCACTTCATAGCGACAACCCGCCAAAATGCCCACTCATGCAGCCGCCGACAAGTCCAGGCAAACATCGGCCGGGAAATCATTTTTTGGAAGGAAACTATACAAGGACCGCTCGACCGATGATCGTTCTCAAGGATACGACGGATATGGAGGCTCTTACGATAGCCTAGCACCGCCTGGAAGTGCGGCGGGATCTCGCTCGTCCCGCTATTCGAAGCGCTCTTCGATCCAATCTGTCGACATGAGCCACGATATCGACCCCGGAAGCCTCGGCCCGACCGCAGGTGTTATAACGTCCATACCATTTGAGAGTCTGCCATCAGATACAAGAAACCCCATCCCGATCGATAGCATGTCGCGACCCGACTCCCGCCACGAGCCCTCCCCCAACCACATTGGAAAAGCCGGGGGAGATTTCCATCAGTACCCAACTTTGACCTCCACCTCTGCGCCGAACGGTTACGCTCCTCATCCATCCGGTCCCCGACCACCCCCACATGGATCCAACACGACGATGACTAGCAGCAACTCAGGGGACCGTGGCACTCGATATCAACAATGGGGACGACCCGGAAGCTCAGCGGCGAACCCTGGCATGGGACATAATTCATCGATTGACTCCTCCTCGAATTCTCGCACATCACTTGACCAGGCTAGTGTATATTCCGGCCATTCATCCAATACGCGGGGCTCAAACTATTTCCCCTCGGAGCCCTCTTCTCGCACCCTCACAAGCTCGCATTCCAGTGATCGCAATACAATCTTCCCAAGTAGCGCAAGTACAGGCAGATTGTCAAACGCCCCTTCACAGCACCAACCCATCCCCGCAGCCGTCCCCCGTCCTCCCGATAATTTCCTTACTCGTCCTAGAGATGATCGTATCGTTGACCAGCTGTTTCTGGACCTGATGCAGAAGCGTGGATGGCAGAATCTTCCCGATCAAGCCAAGCGGCAAATGCTATCATACCCTGCCTCCAAGAAATGGACTTTGGTCCACCAGGATCGCTTGACAGAACTGCAGGGAGAGCAGAAACGACGACAGAATGCCCGTCAAACACACGGTCATGATGGTCTTTCAGGTCTTCTGGAGCGTGCCGATGAAGAAGGCAGCCCGGAGTGGTATGTGAAGAAGGTGATGGATGACACCATTACGTCAAAGCAACTGGCTAGTTTGAGCGTCAGTTTGCGAACGCAGCCCATCAGGTAAGCCGGGAAATCACCTTTTTCGCAGCAAACAAATTAATAAATACTGATCATCTTCTACAGCTGGGTGAAAGCCTTCGTTGAAGCACAGGGTCAAGTTGCCCTGACCAACGTTCTTCAGAAGATCAATAGAAGGAAGGCCTCTGGGCCCGTTCCTGCTCCTCCAACTGGCGACAAAGATCTCGACCGTGAATATGATATCGCCAAGTGTTTGAAAGGCCTCATGAACAACAAATATGGAGCCGATGATGCACTCGAGCATCAAGGTGTACTTGTCGCACTTGTCAACTCATTAGCTTCCCCTCGCCTTAACACTCGGAAGCTTGTCAGTGAAGTTCTCACCTTCCTGTGTCACTGGGCCGAAGGCCAAGGCCACCAAAAGGTCCTACAATCCATGGACAAAGTCAAGCACGACCATAACGAGACTGGCCGATTCGATGCTTGGATGAGAATTGTTGAAGTCACTATCGATGGCCGTGGAAAAATGGGAAGTTTGGTCGGTGCCAGTGAAGAATATCGCAGTGGTGGTATTGGCATGGAAAACCTGCTTATGGAATATGCTGTTTCCACCATGATCCTCATCAATATGCTGGTAGATGGAGCGGAGAACGACTTGCAACTACGATGCCATATTCGTGCCCAGTTCATCTCCTGTGGAGTCAAACGTCTTTTGACCAAGATGGAGGGTTTCCAGTATGAGGTTATCGACAAGCAGATCGAACGTTTCCGGGAGAATGAGGCTATTGACTACGAGGATCTCCTCCAACGAGAAGGTAGCAGCATGAAGGACAGCGTTGAGGGAGAAGTCAAGGATATGAGTGATCCTCTTCAGATTGCGGATGCCATCGCAACCAAGATTAATGGCACCAGGTCGCACGACTACTTCCTCTCGGCAATGCAGCACATGTTGCTAATCCGCGAGAATTCTGGCGAGGAGGGTCTCCGAATGTTCCAGCTTGTGGATGCTATGATGAGCTATGTCGCCATGGATAGGAGGCTCCCTGATCTCGACCTTCGACAAGGACTGAATTTCACTGTGCAAAGTTTGTTGGATAGACTTCATACCGATGCCGAGGCGAGACGTGTGTATGACGAATCGCTAGAAGCCCGTCAGATTGCCGAGGCCGCTATTGCCGAACGCGATGAGATGAAGGCTCAAGTCGAGCTTGGTGCCGACGGTTTGGTCAAGAAGCTTCAAAAGCAGATTGATGAACAGACCGGAATTATCGAGCTCCAGGCACGTCAAAACGAGACTTTGAAGGCCGAGGCCAGTGAACTACAGAGACTGCGTGCGCAGGAACTCCAGCGCAATGAACTGGAGACCCGAGAGCTCTATCTGATGCTTCGAGACGCCCAGGATATTGCTGCATCCAACGCCCGCAAAGCGGCCAACCCAGATCAAGAGCCATCGGCCGCCGATCCATCGCAGATGCCTGGAATTCTGGACCGGGAGCGTCTTATGGAACGATTGGAGCGCCAACTGGAGAGAACCAAAACGCAATTCAAGCTTGAGGGCAGAGTCTGGGGCCAGCACGGCCCATCTGACCGTCTACGTGAGCTGCGCGAAAAGATGGATGGAGAGGATGATTCTGGTGAAGAATTTACTGAGCAGACTCGCCGCCATCTGGACCCGGGCTCCCTCGGATCCGTGTACCGGAAACGCAGCCATGTGCCTGATATGGACGAGTCCCCTGAAGGCCAAGCTCTTTCTCCCGTGGATGAGGATGAAGAAGCCGTGTACGAAAAGCCTCGCTTGGTGGAAATGCAACGACCTCGTCTGAACCCTGCTCAAGCTACTGGCCTGCTCGGCGAGCTTGCCTCTAAGGTGCCCAAGTACGATGAAGGCCCAGAGGGAACTGGCACTGCAGGTGAAGACAAGGATACTGCAATGGAGGATGGTGCATCCAAGCCAGAGTCAATAGCACAGCAAGGCTCATTGGGAATGCCACCTCCACCGCCACCACCACCACCGGGTGGCCTTGCTATGCCTCCCCCGCCCCCTCCTGGAGGTGCCAAGCTCCCGGTTCCTCCTCCTCCACCACCAGGTGGCAGTGGTCTTCCTCCCCCCTCCGCCGCCGCCAGGTGGCCTTGCTATGCCTCCCCCTCCTCCGCCAGGTGGTGCCAAGGGTATCCCGGTCCCTCCACCTCCCCCTCCCCCGCCTGGCGGCAAAGCCGGTCTACCCCCTCCCCCGCCTCCTCCAGGTGGTATTGGTGCTCCACCACCTCCACCACCGGCGCCTGGAGGCAACGGTGGATTTGTTCCTCCGCCGCCGCCACCAAGTGCTCCACTGGGCGCTGGTTGGAAACCATCCTTCATTACTCCAAACTCCGTTGTGCCTATGAAGAAGTTTGGCGATCCTAAGAACAACCTCAAGAAGGTGCACTGGGACAAGGTTGATACTCCTGAAGTAACAGTTTGGGCTGCGCACGCCGTTTCGGCCGAGGAGAAGGAACAGAAGTACACCGACCTGGCCAAGAAGGGTGTCCTAGATGAGGTGGAACGGCTGTTCAGGGCTAAGGAGACTAAAATATTCGGAGCCAGCACAGCGGCCAAGGCGCGCAAAGACAAGAAGCAGGTCATTTCCAATGATTTGTCTAAGAACTTCCAGATTGCCTTGTCCAAGTTCTCTCAGTTCCCACCTGATACCGTGGTTCAAATGATTATCCACTGTGATCGAGAAATTTTGGACAACATGGTCGTCATGGACTTCTTGCAGAGAGATGAAATGTGCACCATTCCGGAGAACGTCGCGAAGTTGATGGCGCCGTATAGTCGGGATTGGACCGTTCCAGGCGCTGAAACCTCTGATCGTGAACAGGATCCCAGTGAACTCACCCGTGAGGATCAGATTTATCTCTCCACCGCCTATGAGCTTAATCACTACTGGAAAGCGAGAATGCGTGCACTGTCTCTGACGCGCTCATATGAGCAGGAATACGAGTACACGTCCTCCAGGTTACAAGAGGTCGTTCGAGTCAGTGAATCTCTGCGAGACTCCGTCTCGCTCATGAATGTTCTTGGTCTGATTCTGGACATTGGAAACTATATGAACGACGCCAACAAGCAGGCTCAGGGTTTCAAGCTGAGCTCGCTTGCTCGCTTGGGCATGGTTAAGGATGATAAGAACGAGACCACTTTTGCCGACTTGGTCGAGCGTATCGTGCGCAATCAGTATCCCGAGTGGGAATCTTTCTCTGATGAAATCAACGGCGTCGTTGGCCTCCAAAAGGTTAACGTTGACCAACTTTGCACTGATTCCAAGAAGTACATCAGCAATATCAAGAACGTGCAGTCAAGCTTGGATGCAGGCAACCTCAGTGATCCGAAGAAATTCCACCCTCAGGATCGTGTCAGCCAGGTGGTTCAGCGAAGCATGAAGGATGCTCGGCGCAAGGCTGAGCAGCTGCAGCTTTACCTGGATGAGATGGTGAAGAGCTACGATGACATCATGGTCTTCTATGGTGAAGATAATACCGATGAGAATGCTCGGCGAGACTTCTTCGCGAAGTTGGCTTCCTTCTTGGTCGAATGGAAGGTTTGTTTATTCATCTGAAAATGAGCCAGATGGCCTCGTGTATCAAATTGCTAACTGGTTCTACCAATAGAAATCTCGCGAGAAGAATATGGGCTTGGAGGAAGTTAGGAAGCGTACTGAAGCCTCGCTGGCCCGCAAACGAATCAACGTCAATCTCGCCAATGCCAATGGTCCTGCGGTGGAAGCGCAGAGTTCCCCTGCCAACAGCGGTGCAATGGACTCGCTTCTCGAGAAGCTGCGCGCTGCTGCGCCCCAAGCCAAAGACCAACGAGACCGTCGCCGTCGTGCTCGCCTCAAGGAGCGTCACACTGTTCGCGTTGCCTCCGGACAACATGTTCCCGATGGCGATGCGGAAGAGGGCAAAGACGGAAACGAAGATGCGGCCGATGGCGATGCCAAGACCGATGAGAATGGTCTTCTGAGCCCGCCTCTACCCGATGATGGAGACCAAAGCACCCAGGAGGCTCAAACATCCGAAGGCGAAGATATTGCCGACCGTGCAGCCAGCATGCTTCTCGGCCTAAGGAGTAACTCTGACGCAGGTGGCGAGCGTCAGAGACGGCGAAGAGAGAGTGCTGATGAAGAACGTCGAAATCGCCGCATGAGACGACGCAATGGAGCGACGAGCGGAAGCAAAGACAGCGCCGATGGATCGGGTCTTCCAGCCGTGCAAGAACCCATGTCGCCTTCACGGACCGACTCTATTGGTGCGGATGACCAGGCTCTGCCGAGTCCTCTCCAAGAAGAAGCACAGTTATCAGCGCCCCCTTCCCATCATCGTCTCAGGACAACATGATGATGACCAAAAACAAGAAGAGCCCTCTGCCGACGGTTCATCTTCCAGCCATCCGATCGAATTGTCGGATTGAGACCGTGAACAGCCCCACGGGCGACCCTAATCTAATGTCTGATAGATTCTTATGTGATGCCGCCTCGGAAATTTTTTAAATTTTTCTCTCTTGCATCACCTTTTTCCCTATCTCTTACCCTCGACTCGACTGTATAATACCCTTTTCACTCCCTGTCACCCCCTTTGATCCGCCATTTTCTCTATTCACTTCGTGATGAGCGTCTGCATGGGTCATGATACCATCGTCTTCCTTTTTCTCTTTTCCTTTCCTCTTCTTTTTTCCCTGGTTATTCCATGTTAAATTTACTTGTCTGTCGAGGGCACCCCCGCATACCCAACCTTGTCCGTGGCTCAAGAGCAGTCTCTCCTTGTACATAATTCCCTTTTTCTCCATCATTCACGGCACTGTCGACCATGACTGTCAAATTTCATGATCGAAAGACCTGCCTTCTATCGAATTGCATTCCCATGTTCGATGTCACTTCTCTGTCTTTGTGAAGTCCTTCTACTATCCCTCTGTGCACTCTTCGGATGGCAGGTACTGTGTGATGAAGGTTGTACGTGTATGCGAATCGCTGCTACTAATGCGGAAGAAGGACGAGTTTCACCGTCCAAGATGGAGTGGTACTAAGATAGAATTTCTATAAGAGGAATATACGTGGTACATTCATAGATTACCCCTGTGCAAAGCTTAGCTCAAAATTCCCTATAGGCTTCAAGTTCTACTGGGCTTACTTTAAAATTACTAAAACTACTCTCGATAATGCCCGATACTGCCCAAAGTTACTAGATATCTATATCTAGCCCTTATTTTGGTCCAGGAAATGAGATGCCATTCATATAAAGACAACGTATTAGGGCGCTAACCCATAAAAGGAAAAGCTAACCGGATACAGTAATTCGCATGTCTACAGCGAACGATAGTCAATCGCCCTAGACCTTGGGCAAACTGCCTTAGTGGATGATCATAGTATAATAGTGAGAAATTATAATGAAGCTTATCTATAGTAAGCAGTCAGTTAATAGTTATCTAACTAATTGCGTGAACTAATAGTTACTTCCATTTGTTATTGTAGTACTACGCTTGCTGGATCATCTCCACGTGACTGTTATCTTGGATCCACCAATCTTTAATTTATCGCAACAAGCACGCGACGCCCACTCAATAACCTGCAATTCAGGCTTGAAAGCTTTGTCTCTGCGTATGAGAGCCTGTCAATCCCAGAGCCTGCGATGGGCCGCTTCCATACGCTCTCCATGGGCTCAAGTACGGCCTGCAATATTCAACGAGCTTCTCTTCCGACGTCATGATTCGATCCGCGGAGCGCAATCTTTAAGAAGCGGACATAGTCCCATTCGAGGCTTCTCCTCGACCCGATATGCGCCTTTCATGCTCGACACCGATTCTACAATCTATGCACTATCTACATCACCCGGAAGAGCGGCGATTGCAGTAGTGCGAGTCTCCGGGCCAGCGTGCGCCTCGGTATAGTCCTCCCCTCCCCCCCTCAAAGAAGTATAAACGAATCACAAAAGCTTATGCTGATCACTCTGTGCATGTAGATCTATAAAGCGCTCTGTCCTCAATCTCCCCTCCCCAGACCACGCTTCGCCGCACTGCGAACCCTCTACGACCCCGACCAGCCACCTTCCACAAACACCGTTCTCGACGCCGGTGCCCTCGTCCTCCACTTCCCGACCCCAAAAACAGTCACAGGCGAGGATGTACTGGAATTTCATATCCACGGCGGGCCAGCCATAGTCAAAGCCGTTCTCGGCGCGATCGCCCGAACAAATCATACAAACGCAGTGGTCCGATATGCCGAACCGGGCGAGTTCACGCGCCGAGCATTCATGAACGACCGCCTCGGTCTCCCGCAGATAGAGGCGCTCGGTGATACGCTCTCTGCGGACACGGAGCAGCAGCGTCGGCTGGCAGTGCGTGGCTCAAGCGACGCCCTGCTTACGCGCTACGAGCGTTGGCGTCAGCAGCTACTCTATGCGCGCGGCGAATTGGAGGCCTTAATTGATTTCTCCGAGGATCAGCATTTTGATGAGTCGACCGAGGAGCTGGTCTCCTCTGTTGCGACGCAGGTACGTGATCTGCAGGTCCAGATCGGGTTTCATATCCAGAATGCGTCGAAGGGTGAATTGCTTCGTAATGGGATTAAGGTTGCGCTCCTGGGGGCTCCGAATGCTGGTAAGAGCTCATTGCTGAATCGTGTTGTGGGGAAGGAGGCCGCTATTGTTAGTACCGAAGAAGGGACGACAAGAGATATTGTTGATGTTGGCGTTGATCTTGGAGGTTGGTATTGCAAACTCGGTGACATGGCGGGTATCCGTGCGGAGGGAGGTGGTACCGATTCTACCGGGCGGATTGTTATAGGTGCCGTCGAGAAGGAAGGAATTCGCAGAGCGAGAGAAAGAGCTTTGCAGTCTGATGTGGTCGTGGTAGTTGTTTCACTCGAGGAGGGTTCCAATGGAGAGCAGCATCTTTTGGTTGAGCCTGAGGTTCTTGATGCGGTTAATGATTGCGTCAAGGCTGAGAAGTGTTTGGTTGTTGCCATCAACAAGTGCGACAAGCTTCCGGCGGAAGAAAGGGATGGTCGTCTACCCCAGTCTTTGGAGACTACTATCTCAGCTGTCTTCCCGGCCGTGCCAAAGGAACGCGTTTTCGCCATTTCCTGCAATGAAGCAGAGCGGGGACTTTCGCCGCTGAGCCAGTCTGACCCAGGCCATCTACAATCATTTCTACGTGGATTGATCTCGACATTCGAGCAGATCGCTTCACCGTTAGGCATGGATGGAGATAATAGTGGCCAATATGATATTTCCTATTGGGAGGACTCATTGGGAGTCACTCATCGACAAAGCTCGAATCTAGAAAAATGCCTCGACCACCTGGAAGATTTTCTGTCCCAGACCTCCTCCGCTTCCCCAGCTCCCGATTCGCCTCCACCTTCGTCCCCGAACGGAATTTTCGAAGAATCCGAAATTGACATCGTCACCGCTGCTGAGCATCTGCGTTTTGCGGCGGACATGCTCGCTAAAATCACCGGCAAAGGTGAGAGTGGAGATGTCGAAGATGTGCTCGGGGTCGTATTCGAAAAGTAAGTCCTCTGTCTGTCTGTCTTCCGTTGACTGAATCGGCAAACTGATGATTGTAGGTTTTGCGTTGGCAAGTGACAAGAATTGGGAGATTTATCAAGATCAGTGGAATCACTTTCTGCGAAGCCTCTTGGCTACCCCAGCCCTGGGCTTTGCGAGTGCAGAAATTCATGGTCGAGTGGAGATTGAACAAGTTGCGCTGATCGGACTCCCAATGTCATGCTGGCATATACCTGGCAGGTAATGCTTGTCTTCATGCCTATGGAGAGCTTTTTTCATGGGAACCAGGATCGTATCAAAAGAATTGTTGATGCACATTGTGCGCTTTTTTTGCAACTCAATTTGACGATTGGAAAGCTGAATCGTCTGGGCGATTGGCAGGCCCATTGTAACCACCACGGCCCATGGTGGAGTTGTCTTGGTCGTCGCCGAGGAACATTGTAAAGTATCTGGATGATATAAAGAAGACGAGGTTGTACAACAATGTATATAGAAATATTATCAAGAAAGAGCAAGTAAAGGTTTCAGATGAGGCTTTTAGCTGTTGAAATTTTGCTGTGTCTTGGAAAATATTGGGAAAAAATTAGATTTCCCACGGTTGATATTTATACAAGAACCCTTCAGCGGAACCAGTCTGCCTTAAGACGCCATGAATCATACAGGCACCCAGAATCTTCCAGCCCTGCCATTTCAGGCAATCTTCTAGATTACAGCCTGGAAATCGACCGAAGCACCGGGACTGCTCTCGTGTACCATCTGAGTCAGGGCCGCCCATTGCTAGCTGCGTTCTTCGCGAGATATGCGGGCCGGCCAAACGAAGCGGACCTGTGATGCGCCAATCTCCTACCCTTGGCACGCCGTATTGCTGGATGATTCATCAAGACTAATGCTACCGTGCCTACGATGATGATGCGGATCTTAGTCGAGCGAGGCTTAGTGGGTAATCATTTGACATTCAAACAACATCTTTTTTCAGCTGACGAAACGTGGTTGGAAGTTGAAACATGCTACTGGGGCTCAGCCGGTGACTCCTCCAGTGGACCCGGGCCTAACGACTGTCTACTGATTTGCAATCCTTCTTCTCCCCTGCTACTCTAGAGATTGTTTGCGAATCTATTTCCCTTGTCCAGCTCTTGTTGATTTCAATTTCTTGGTTTCTTGTTGGCCTTATTCGCTTGATTTCGGAGAATGTCAGATTCTAAGAATAGCCCATGTCTTCCCCGCCTTCACCACACGCTGAGCAGCCCACAACTGGGAACTAGGAAGAAAATGGAGAACACTTTCCTATATTTACAGTAGCGCATAAGTGTGTAATTTGCGGCCGGAATTTTTCACCGTTGGAGTCCGCAGATGCTATTAATAAAAATAAGAATCCCACGTTGTGCCCTTGCAGTGTGCTGCCAGGGGCCGGTTGTGAGGGTTGAGGATTACTTCTTTTGGACCGCGCTCGCGTCCATTTTCCTTTTTGGCCGACTCTTCTCGCTCTAAGGGCTGACGGGCGTACAAGGATAGATGGGAAACGATTCAAATTTTGCAAGACGTGATTTAGGGCTTTGTAGAGATACTTACTACGACGGAGTACATCCCGGCAATATGGTGAAGAATGGGGGCCGTTTGTGGGCAGTTGGATGCTATTCATAGCACTGGCGCATCCCGGTTCGGCCATGTGGCCTCCTGGTTTGTCCTCTTCTCCACCCCACACGCTCGATGGCTTCGCTAGTTGTAAAAGTACGCTAGCTATGGTGTTAGCTCTACTGTACATACAGTGCACGGTCTATCTTCTATAATATTTACTTTCCGGTATACCATGGCATCGGTACCCAAAGTCCACGCTTATCCTACATGAAGGAATAATATCTGGAAAGCGGAGACGTGCAGAAGTAGATAGACGGATAGTTCTCGGCTAATTTTGGATCCTTCAGATATCAACCTGGTAGAATTCCGAGCCTATGGTTCGGGCTGGAATTGGATACTACTGATACCACCAAGCCTGCGCCGACATTTGGATGATGCTATTTTTGCTGTGGGAAACACAGGTATCCGGCCGAGGCTCTCCGGGATACGATAGATGAGGAAGGTCGCACAGAGAGTCAAGGCATGTGATGAAACTAACGTTTGACGGATTTCCAATCATGATTATAATAATAGCTCTGGCCCCAAATGTGGTCTCAGAAGATACCAGAATGGACAGGCTGTTTGTCGATCAAAATGTGTCTTGAATTCTACGAGATCCCGTAGCACGCCTCGTCTACGGATTTTTCATCTATAGTTGAACGATTGGCAGAGGCTGTCAAGGGAATCAAGTGAAAAATTCCTGCTGCATTAACCCCACCAGCTTTATTGTGGGTGCTAAATATAAACATGCTCCTCTATAGTGTTTAGCAATATCAGTGCATACTACAGGTGTATACTAAACATCATCCCGAGACATTGCGGGGCAGCGAACCATGGTTCAAGACGAACGGGGAACTGCTTGGATCAAGAACACCCAACCATTACAAGCCAATTCACCGATTGCAAGCCCAATTTTATCTTCGAAGGTAATGATTGATCATATTTCTATATCGCCAGATGCGACAAGGCCTGCAGTGCACGTCCGCACTGGCGGGTGCGCTAAATGCTGGTGGAGATGCCTTCCCCACCATGTGATTTGACGCTGTCAGCCTCGCCCTCGTAGGCTCGCTCTTCATGCTCTGCATCCTCAACCATGGACCCCGTCTCGGCTTTCGGCCTCATTTCGGGCGGCATTCAAGTCCTCCAGGCCATCACGTCGACTGTCCATGGCCTTAACCAGCTTTATGGAAAATTTAAGGACGCCGATTTGACCATTCAATCCCTGATTCAGGAGTTGAGCTGTATCAGTGCAGCACTCACTAGCCTCAGGGAATGGACCCGCCTGAACCGCGCCGATGGAATGCAGTCGGAAGAGTACAGTCGGGACCTGACCGTCGCTATGGATGGCTGTCGTGTCATTATGGAGGTCGTATCTCACGACGTGTCCACCCTGGTGCAGCAATCCCGAGAGAATGGGATCGCAGGAATTCGCACCCGCATGCGAGTAGTTTGGAATGAAGAGACGATGCGCGGGCACCAGGAAAAGCTACACTCGCAGGTGATGGCGCTGCAATTACTGCTCCAGGTGTGCCAATGGTGAGATGGATTCGCTTAGTCCGCCCGACCAACCACGTTTTTGACACTGATTGGCCATAATTAGCCATACCTCGACAGAGCAGGTACGATTGCTTAGGACTGCTACAACCAGGCAAATCTTCCACCGAGTTGCAGACGATACAGCGACTATCTTGTCCAGCCGCGGAAGCCGCGCCACATCCTACGCAGACAGCATGTCTCAAAGTAGTCGACACTCTGTCAGTGATTCTGACTTTGATTTCCACAAGGCTATAGCAGAGTCACCAGCCTATCGTAGAACACTGGATCCAATGGCTCTCACTGCAGCCTCGCTAGATCAACCCCAGTTGCCGATAGCCGAGAGTGATCATAGCCCCTTTGCATTCACCGGCACAGACGAGGGATATGCAAGCAACCGCACAGAGACCACTAGCCTGACAGTCCCATCGTTAAATATTCCAGCACCAAAGCCCGAGGAAGAAGGCTACTTCCCCTTGCCTAGCAGCCCATCTGGACCAGTACGGCATCCAACGAGCCCTCTCCATAGTCGAAGTGTTTCTCACACTCAAAATTCTCAACAACATCAAGCACCGGCCATCCGAAGGAATGCATCTGATTCCAAAGCGCAGAAGTTGCGGACCTCAGGATCCAAAAGAGAAAGACTTTCCTCTTTCCTGGGTATGAGCACTCGAAGTCGCGCTAACCTTGCCGTGTCCCCCGGAGTCTCGCCGAACCCATCGACCAGCTCTAGCTCTGGCTCTTTTAGAAGAAGACAGAGACTAGAAGGTGATTTGAGCACTAGTATAGACCTCACAGCCAAACACGCGACATCGGTACCCCAGATAATCAAAGCAGCCCAGGTGGGCTCTCGGGATGAAGTGGAGCGGCTGATAGAACAAGGATGTGATATTGAAGCCCGCCACTCCCGATCCAGTCGAAATGCTCTTCTCGTTTCAGCACACTGTGGTCATGATGATGTTGTTGACTTGCTTATACAGAACCATGCCAGGCTGAACATAGTCGACAGAGGAGGGTGGACTGCTCTGCACCTTTCCGCATCTCGTGGGCATCGAGCTGTGCTAGAAGTTCTATTAGAGGAAGGTAGAGATCTTCTCGAGACCCCGAATTTCCATGGCCAGACTGCACTGCGTGTAGCAGCGGACTGTGGTCAGCTGGAGGCTGCGTCTATTTTAATCGCATATCATGCACAGGTCAATGCACGAGCAGAGAACCAAATGACTGCATTGGTGAGTACACTCCAGGCGTAAAATTTGCCCAAGAAAAGAAAAAAAAAGAAGAACTACTGACAAAGTTTATAGCATGCCGCTGCTAAACGAGGGGATAGTGAAATTACCCAAATGCTGATTTCCCATGGTGCCGACCTGGAAGCCAAGGACGGAAATATGATGACAGCACTCCACCATGCCTGCGAGGAGGGTCATATCGACACTATAAACATTCTCCTGAGACAACCGGGCTGCAATTGAAGCACTAGGCCGTGAGCGCAAAACGCCGTTAATATGTGCTGCTGAAGCCGGTCGTTCTCAGGCCGTTAAATTACTCTTAAAACGCAAAGCCACTTCTCGAGCTCTTGACGAGACGGGGATGACAGCGCTTCATTGGGCTGCATATAATGGCCACGAAGAGACAGTCAAGATTCTAAGCGACAAGAAGGGCTCGCTTGATGCCGTCAACAATATGGGACGTACCGCGTTACATCTGGCAACTATTCAATCTCGATTTGCCGTGGTGGACTCTTTACAACGGAAAGGAATGCAGCTTGATAAAAGATGCAATACAGGCCTCACTGCACTTCATTATGCATGTATGGCTGATAGCTTTGAGATCACGAGGCTTCTCCTGATGACGGGTGCCGATGTTGAAGCATCCGAAACCCAGCACCAGCAGCGGCCTCTGCATATTGCTGCTGCTCGTGGCTCGGTGCCTATTCTCGAGCTTCTTTGCGAGAGGGGTGCTACACTTGATGCTCGAAACGGCGTTGGAGATCGCCCTGCATGTGTAGCGAGTCGTTTTGGCCACGTGGGTGCTGTACAAAAACTTCTTGACCGAGGGTCTCCGGTGTGTCTGAAGTTTGAGACGGGCTTTCGTGAAGACTCACTTCTTTGCCTGGCTGCTTTGGGAGGCCACTGGGCCGTTGCTTCTTTGTTGTTGGCTCGTGGTGCATCGATTGTAAAAAAAGATGAGACGGGCTGGGCACCGGTCCGTTATGCAGCCTACTACGGCCATACAAGTATTTTGCAATTATTCTTGTCAAGCAACAAGATCCCCAATGCGAATTTACCAGAGATCATCCAACTGCCACAAACTATTGGGTTTGCCCCTGTGGTTTCTCCAGAAAAGAAAGTCGAGGTGCAACAACTTCTCGGTCAATCCTTGAGATATCCAGCTCCAGTCTCAGCCTCAACACAGGGACCAGTCCCTAGACCGCCACCTGCTCCGATTTCACAGCCGGTGCCTTCACGACCCGAGCAGGCTGCTAATGCAATCCCAACCGTGTACTCATCCCCGGCCCGGCCCCAGCCCCAGCCCCATTCGCCAGTGAAGCTGGCAGCACGGCGATATATGAACTTCCGGCAAGTCTGGACCGAGAGTCAGCAGCCGGGAACCACTCAACAACCACTTTGGAACAAATGCAGCGCAATATGACCTTAGTGGAACCGACTAGTACAGCCATAGTCGGGCAACGGGTACTCACCCCGGAAATGAGACACCCAGAACCAACCCAGGCTGTAGCTGGTGATCGCATTGCTGCACTATTACACGGGGCTCATGATGTGCCTGCGCCTCCGCCTCCGCCTGCATCTACATCAACATCAACTTCTACATCTGCGCCTGGCCCGAGTCGATCTCGAGATCACGAGGCTCCACGATTATCGGCTACATATACGCCTGTCTCATTTATCTATAGCCCAACACCTTCGCCTCCGGTCCGGTCTTACGTTGTTCCACATCGTGGAAGAAATAGCGTTCTTATAACACCCCCTCTGGCTGAACAATCGGTCGACGCGACTCGGGTGCCGAGGTCTCTTCCTACATATGAGAATACTGGTCCTCGGTTTGAGTCTGCGGCTCGGAAAGAGGAGCAGGATGGCGACTTGGACGGCGACTCGGACTCAGACTCCATATCATCTGTTTATACGGCACCGGAAGGTGACGCGGACGTGGCTATTTCAAATACTACGCGGGAAATATCGGTTCAGGAACGTACATGAACCAGGGAAATTAAGTGAATAATTACTACCAGTAGTATTACCTAGGTAGGAACTAGTTATTAGAAATTTGAACTGGAAAATGCTATTGATATCTAGAAACACATTCAATGCTTTTGTGTGTGGTACATATACAAATCCGCCCATCAAAAAAACCACAAACTTTCACGCTGCAAGTTGCGTCTATAGTATAAGTAAAGTAATATATATAGTATAGAATGACCAAAAAAGCTCGGGTATCACGTCGTCTTAAAAACGCCAAATTCCGCAAACCGGAACCCAATAAATCGAAACGAGCCTCAATTATCAATTATCCTCCTCCAAAAAGGATGAAGATAAAGATAAAAGATAAAGATAAAACATCAAGCTCAGGCCTCGATGGCGTTCTTAACCCACTTCTCCAGACCTCCCTTGGCGATAATCTCCTGCACATTGGCCGGGAGCTCACCGACCTTGTGAGTCCACTTGGCACCACCCTCACCCTCCTGCACCTCGATCTGGCTACGGCGAACGTCCCAGGTCAGGGTCCAGCCAGTGCGGCGAGTGAGAGCCTTGCCTTCAGCGGCGTAGTGCTCGCGCAGACGGGCAATGAGACGGGGAACTTCGAGACCCATCAGGGCGTTGTTGATGCTGTTTCGGGAGAAGATGTTGCCAAAGCTGCCGGAGACAACAAGGGGGATCTTCTTGGCGAGAATGGCGGTAGCGGCCTGCTCGCGAGAGCTACCGCAGCCGAAGTTGAAGCCGGAGACCAAGATGTCGCCCTGCTTGGCGAGGTTGGCGAAGTCGGTGTCGTAGTTGGACATGCAGACCTCGGCCATGGTCTCCTCTGAGACGTTGTCCTGGTAGGTGTACTTGCCTGGGTAGATACCATCGGTGTTGATGTTATCCGCGTCGCAGAAGACGATCTCGCCGGAAATGCTCTCGGGGAAGCCGGGGTACAGCTCGGTCAGGGCATCGTCAGAGGTGGTGGCCTCGGTGGCATCACTCTCAGTGGAAGAAGGCTCGGGAGAGAATTTCTTCTCGCCGTCGGCGATCAGCTCGTCCATCTGACCAAGGATCTTCTCCAGAGCCTCCTCGTTGGTGAGCATACGGTCCTCTTCGCGGATACCGTCGCCCTCGCCACGGATGACGCCAGCGTAGTCCTCGGGAGTCTTGTACCACCCAGGGCCGGACAGCTTTCCGCTCAGAGCAGAGGCAGCAACGACCTCGGGGCTGCCCAGGTAAGCCTTGGCGTCGGGGCTTCCCATGCGACCCTTGAAGTTACGGTTGGAGGCACTGATGCCAACCTCACCAGGCTCAAGAAGACCAGTGCCCAGACCAATGCAAGGACCACAGCCAGCGGGAAGAACGGTTGCGCCAGCATCAATCAGGACCTGCCAGTCACCAGCACCCTCGGCAGCGAGCTGCTCAGGAATAGAAGCAGCACCGATGTAAAACTCAACACCCTCGGCGATCTTGGGGACCTGACCACCGTTCTTCTCAGCAGCCTCCTTGAACACACGAGCCGCGGCAGCGATATCCGAGGCACGGGAGTTTGTGCAAGAGACAAGGTAGGCCTTGTTAACCTTGATATCAGCGGCCTCGAGCTCGCCCAGAGGAGTGGCAACCTTAACAGAGTTGGGACCAGAGACGTAAGGGGAAAGCGAAGCAAGGTCAAGGAAAAGCTCCTTGGAGTACTTGGCACCCTTGTCAGCAGCCAGAGGGTTGGCGAACAGCTGATCGATGGCCTCGTGGGTGAATCGTTGCGAGGCCAACGTCTTGTAAGATCCATCTCCATCCGCCAGGCCCATGGCACCAAGGGTGGCCTTGCCCTTCATCCAACCCTTGAGCACATCGTCCATAGGGAAAAGACCTGACAAAGCACCCCATTCAGTGGTCATGTTAGCGATAGTCAACCGGTCGTCAACAGAAAGACTGCGCATGGTCTCCTCAGAACCAGTGAACTCAATGGTATGGTTCAGAACATCATCCTTGTCGAACAGACCGCAAAGAGCGACGATCACGTCCTTGCCGGTAACGCCGGGAGGCAGAACACCGGTCAGGTTGACCTTGGCTCCCGCAGGCAGCTGCCACCAAGTGCGTCCACTGGCCCAGCAGCTTGCCGCATCTGTTCGCACAATAGGAGTACCCAAGCAAGAGACACCGCCGTACATGTTACTGTGAGAGTCGGATGCGACACAAAGAGTTCCGGGCCATGCGAAACCCTCCTCAATCATAACCTGGTGACCAATACCACGTCCGGCAGGGTAGAACTCGACTCCGTGGAGCTTGGCGAAGTCCTCAATCTGCTGGTACTTCTGGAGGTTCTTCTCGCTCTTGTTCTGCACGTCGTGGTCGAGGGTCATGACGATTTGGTTGGGGTCGTGAATCTTAGAAGCACCAATAGACATGAACTTCAGGGCGACGGGCCACGAGTTGTCGTGGGTCATGACGCGGTGCGGAGAGATTGTCACATAGTCACCGGCCTTGACAAACTTGTCCTTGGCGAGGCCGACGGCGTATTGCTGGACGATCTTCTCGGTCAGGGTCTGAGGCACAGCCTTGGAGGTCTGCAGGGAGGAAAACAGCGCGGCAGCGGCGGGGTCTTCGAGCTGGGAGTTGAAGGCAGTTTGCAGAAAGACTCGGGAGGTCATGAAAGTGCGGCGAAGGGTGCTGGGAACGCGGAGGCGGCCCAGCATGGCCCTTTGGCCAGAGACGGAGGGCATCAATCGGGACTGTATGAGGGTAAGGTCAATTAGCAAGTAATACCGGAATTGTTTGAGGATAAACACGTACAGTCATGGTGCCACCGAGAACCGAGAACCCTTGAAGGACAAGAAAGTAGTGAACTTGGAACTATCGGCAGTTCGGAGTTCCTCCAACGTGAGAAAAAACGACTACCGAATGGGCGGCCGGCTATTTGGACAAATGACTCATCCGACCGCTGATTGGTCAATGGCGGGGGGCAAACGGGGCAAATAGAGCAAACACATCACGTGCTACATCTTTAATCCGCCGATGTCGGCTGAATACACTTTGAACATAGGAATACATTAATTTAAAGGGATAATCTACAGTATATTTAGAGTATTTTTAGGAATTAGGTCCTCAAATATTCTAGAGTATCCTCCATACTATCTAAATATCATATTCTATCCTGAAAACCATGAGGGTGCTGATTAATTAGATTATACTATAAACAGGTTTGTTATGTACTCTACTGTTTTACATAGTGTAGATCAACCCCGCCGTCATTGATCAAGGTCCCTCCGCGTTTCTAAGACAAAGTTGAACAATTATTTAGTGGCCGCTAATAGGAATATGTTTTTAAAGACTTACTCAATAAATTCACCTACTCCTTACTCTAGAGTATCAATTTTCCAGCAATTGAACCTTGTAGAACCATTTTATGCAACTTGTCTGCCATCTGCAGCCTTGACTCATACCCCGCCATTGCCGCCAAATTTCATTTTTAGTTCAGAATAACCATTGGCTTAATAGGAAAAAAACCCGGTGAATGGACTAGGACATTCAACCGGCTAAATCTTCTAGCAGCTCCTTAAATTGACTCAATTGCTCTTCTCGCGATGACTCCAAAGTTAATCTGATCCACCAAGGTGCGATCTCCACTCTTGAGCTTTTTCTCTCCCGCTTTACCAGCATCTTCTTTCCTTCCTTTCCCCTCCCTCCATCTCCCACCTGATCCTCGACCATTCTTTCAAAATGCCTTCTCGACAAGAAGTTGCCTACTTCGGAGCCGGCCCCGCTCCCCTACCAACCTCAGTCGTCGAGGCCGGCGGCAAGGCTTTCGTGAACTACAACGACTGCGGCCTCGGACTCGGCGAGATCTCGCACCGCTCTCCAACCGCCAACAAAATCCTCGCTGACGCAAAGGCAAACCTCTCCACCCTCCTCGATATCCCCGACAACTATGAGGTCCTCTTCATGCAGGCCGGCGGAAGCGGCGAGTTCAGCGCCGTCGTGCAAAACCTAGTCTCCGTCTGGATCGAGCGCCGACGCCGCCGCGCCGAGGCCGATATCCTGAAAGCCAACCCTGGTGCTGAGAAGGAGCAGATCGATGAACAGGTCTTCCAGAGACTGGCGAAGGAAGTGGACGAGGAACTGAAGCTCGATTACCTTGTTACGGGATCCTGGTCGCTTAAGGCTTCGCAGGAGGCTGCTCGTCTTGTTGGCTCCAAGTATGTCAATGTTGCTCTGGATGCGCGCAAGGCCAATAATGGCAAGTTTGGCAAGATCCCGACTGAGGATACTTGGTCCTTGACTCCCACCAAGCGTGAGGGTGGTAAGGGTTCTGCCTTCGTCTACTTCTGTGACAATGAGACTGTTGATGGTGTCGAGTTTCAGAGCTTCCCGAAGTCGCTGGAGGCGCAGGGTCAGGACGAGGAGGATGAGCGTCTTGTTATTGCGGACATGAGCTCCAACTTTATCAGCCGGAAGGTTGATGTTAGCAAATATGCTGTCATTTTCGTACGTGCATTAAAGCGAAAGCAACATTCCATTTTTTACATTTTACTAACTTATCCAACAGGGCGGCGCTCAAAAGAACATCGGTGTTACCGGTATCACCATCGCCATCGTCCGCAAGGACCTACTCCCCCCCTCAAACCGCGACTCCTCCCCCGCCCTCCTACACCGTCTGAACATTGGCGGTCTCCCCGGCCCTGTCGTGCTCGACTACGCCACCATCGCCAAGAACAACTCCCTCTACAACACCCTCCCCATCTTCAACCTCTGGATCGCAGGCCAAGTCATGGCCGACCTTGTCTCCGAATTCGGCGCCCAAAAGGTCACTGGACAAGAGCAGGTCGCTGACAAGAAGGCGGCGCTCATCTACGGTGCTCTGGACAAGTACCCGGAAGCTTACCAGGTTGTGCCGGACAAGAGCGTTCGCAGCCGTATGAACATCTGCTTCCGCGTTTACAGCGGCGACGATGCGAAGGAGAAGGAGTTCCTTGCTGGTGCTGAGAAGCGCCTTCTTCAGGGACTTAAGGGTCACCGTAGTGTTGGCGGTATGCGTGCTAGCAACTACAACGCTGTTCCGTTGGAGAATGTGCAGAAGTTGGTGCAGTATTTGGAGGATTTTGCTACTGGGCAGTAGACTTGTCTGAGTCCGAGTCTTTGAGGCAAAACAAAGTTTTTTTTGTTGACTGTTAGCGAATTCAACCTGGGGATCGAGAAGTTTTTCAGAGAACTTGAAATGAGTGAGTGACTAGGAGGGCTGGTGGTATCATGATATTGATCTATCCGAGTTGAGTCCCTGCTAGTTGCACTATTCAACATAACCTTATGGTACGAGATTAATGATATATGCGCAAGAGAAATCCAAAAAAGAATATTTATTGATACTATCCCTCCTTTTTTCTTCTTCGGCTGACCACATTCCATATATAATTTCTTTATCTGCGTGTCATGGTTTACTGGTTGTAAACTTGAACATTGAGTAGTAGGTAGCTATATGCTATAGATGCAATGATTATTTATTATTCTGATCTAGTATAAGAAATTGAAACAGACCATCCAAAAATAATAAGGATAATAAGACAGCGGAGAGAAAAGAAAATTCAAATGCACTTGGCAAGCCACCGTCATCACATCGTACGCCAACAGCGCGCCTGGTAAATCCCAGAGCAACGCAGGGACAAGACATTTGAGCACATTGCTCAAACCATACACCCGGTTTTATATGCATGGGTATCAATCATCAAACTAAACAAATAAATAGCGATATCAACGAGGTCACGTAGGGGAGATCATTGGCATCCATCCATCCTCTATCGAGAACGTGACTTCCAGAACTTCCAAGAGATTCCAGTTTGACCATCTCGCTGATATATGCGCCAGTAATAAACAGGGACGCCAGTGATGATGAATGCAACCACAATCAGAGTTTGAAGAGGTTCAGCGATGACAGCACGGCTGAGTAGAAACAGGCTAACACAGCAGAATATAATAGGAGTTGTAATCCAGGTTCGGTACGGACGCTCGAGATGGGGTTCGCGAATGCGGAGAACGATCAAGCCGAGGACAGTGACGAAGTAAAATGTATACCCGGCCACACCATAGAAGGTAACCAAGGTAGCGAATTCACCAACGGCAATATATGCGGCGGTCAATGCTGCATTGAACGCCATGGCGTATATGGGAGTGAATCCAAGCCGGGATTCGTCGCCAAATAGACGTGAGATGGATTTCCGGGCCCAAGAACGGCGACGGAGACGAGTGCCCGCGGCTGGGGTTGGGGAGGAGGAGTTGCCCAATCCGATGCGTCCGAATAACGATGGAAGATAACCTTCCTTTCCGGCCGCGTAAACAAGTCGACCGCTAGTGAATGTCGTTGCATTGAGAGCTCCGAAGCAGCTGGCTCCCACAACTAGTGCGAGAACAACAGCACCGACGGGGCCGAAGACCTTGCCGCCAAATTGGACGGCAACGGTGTTGCTTCCTTCAATTGTATCGTGGGGCAAAACGAGGAAGTAGGCAACGTTGGCCATCAGATAACACAGAATGACCAAGGGCATAGCGGTATGGATCACACGCGGCAAATCGCGGTTCGGGTTCTTGAACTCGCCAGTCACATAGTTCGTCTGAAAGAAAGGTATTAGAGAGGGCCTTTTCAAACTAAAAAAAGAAAATCAGTCACACTTACATTGTCCCAGCCGTCAAATGCCCACAGTCCTGCATACAACGCCACCGCAAAGTCCGATATTTCTGTATTGGTTCCTGCGAACCAACTGGCGTTTTTCCACTCGTCGCTGGCGCTTCCTTTCGACGAATAACCAGTGATTGCCACCACGATTCCCGTGACAGTTACACCAAGAAGAGCGACAAACTTGAAGAACATAAAAAGATCTCCAATGCGGGTCGCGATCTTGGTGGAGATGCAGTTGAACAGAGTCACCGCTACCAGACCACCGATAGCAACGCCCTTGTTGATCCACGGGCTGACATCTTCCACATCGGCACCCACGAATGCTCGCACAATATATTCACCAAAGATAATTGAAATAATAGCTGCCGATCCAGGCTTCAGCACCAAAACGGCACACCAGGTGAAAAGGAACCCAGGAAGTTCGCCGAAGATCTTTGAAAGATAGACCTGAGCTCCTCCATTGAGTGGGATCGCTCCTCCCAGTTCCGCATAGCTCGCCGCGCCTGTCCACGCGAGCAAACCAGCAACAGCCCAAACAATGAGTGATGCGCCTGGCGAACCCGCGTTCGCGTTGACCTGGCTCGGCGAGGAGAAAATTCCAGAGCCGATAATCAGACCAACGATTAGGGAGAGTCCGTTCAAGTATGTCAACGTCTTGTTCCGTTCCAAAGATCCATCCTGTCCCTGGCGATCTAATGTCGTAGGTGCGCCTAGAGGAGCATAGCCACCTTGTGTTTGGGATAATGGGAAAAGGTTGCGTCCGAAATCGAATGCAGAGGATACGGAATAGCCTCTTTGGCGACCGGCTTCGAGGTAGACATCTCCTTGGTCATCGGCGAGTGGATCTTCATCTTCGAGTGACAGTTTGCGCGAGGAGGAGATTCCATCGGGGAGGAGGATCGCGAAGAACCGGCAACGGATACGGGAGACGAAGAGGCGAGAGATGCGAGTTCTAACGAGTCTCGTGGAGCGGCGAGGCCATTTCGGTCGTGTGAGAATCCCGGATTCGACATTCTTTTTGGTTGTTAAACCCGGGGTGGGTGGTAGTGGTGGTAGTGAGAGAGAGAGGGCTCGATTCGACGGGGGGTCAGGAGATATTGGCAAAACTCTCCATTTCCCAGCGATCGAGGTAGTAGAGAGGGTGAGGGTGGTGGAAAGAGAGAAGAGAAAGAAAGAAAGAAAGAAAGATCCGCGGTGGAGAGAGAGGCAAAGGGTCCAGGCGAAGGCGAAGTCTGCCAAGGGGGTGAATTGCTGTTGTTCGTCGATCGCCCAATCGGCTTTGACCTTCTGCAACTCCCAATTTCCCCGCGGTTTTCCCAACTTAATAACTTAAATACTCCTCTGACAATGCGATGACCCTTCAAAGACCGCAAATCCCCATGAACTCCTCCTCTCTCTCATCGTTATGCTGCCGTAGGTCTGCACTGCGGCAGTCGGTGGCTCACTATCGCCGTTTCGCCTCTGCCTCGACTGCCTCCCCGAAATCCGCACCTCCGTCTCCGAAAAATCGCTGGGTAGGCATTGCCATTATAACAATTGCTGCTGGTAGCACTGGCGCATATTTACGGTCGCAAAGCCCAGCGTCCGATACCCTCAATCCAGAAACTTTCACCAAATATAGCCTCGTGTCAAGAGAGCCGGTCTCATCGACAAGCAGCCTTTTCACCCTCCGCCCTCGATACCATAGCGATCGCAACTACGATGTCTACGAGGATGCTTGGAGAATAGGAGTGTGGAGCGTGATGTTCAAGCAGCCTCAACTACAGATTGGACGAGATTATACACCCCTCCCTGTGACAGCAGCAACGCCGTTGACCGTCGACGAGGAGAATGAAGGCTACCTGCGTTTCTTTATTCGCAAAGACCCGTTTGGAGAGGTTTCTCGATATCTGCATAGCCTTAGCATAGGCGCTGATATCGAGATGCGAGGACCGCAGATTGAGTGCGCCATTCCGAAGGAAACTCAAGAAGTCCTGTTCATTGCTGGCGGAACGGGGATTGCCCCGGCGTTGCAGGCTGGATATTCTTTGTTGAACCGCACAACTGAAGAAAACCGACCGCGGATACATATCTTCTGGGCCAACCGGCTAAAGGAAGATTGTATCGGGGGTCAAAGCGATACACCTGTACTTGAAACGGTCCGTCGGTCATGGTTCTCAGGGTGGTTTGGTTCGTCTAAAAACACATCCTCGAACGACCAGGCAGCGCTCCACTCCTTGGAAGACAAGAGTACGTCTATGATTGTGCGAGAGCTGGATGGTCTCAAGTCTCAATACCCGGGCCAGGTCACCGTCGACTATTACCTCGACGAGGAAAACCGATTTATTGGCAAGAAGGAGATTTCAGATTATATTGCATCTACTCCACGACCTTTGGACAATGTGCCCGGGAGAAAACTAATATTGGTTTCTGGTCCCGAAGGCTTCATCAGTTATATGGTTGGGCCAAAGGTTTGGGCGGATGGTAAGGAGTTACAAGGTCCCCTTCGAGGAATTATCAAAGAGCTCGATCTCAAGGGATGGGCCGTGTGGAAACTCTGATCGTGTCCACTTCATTGTTCTGTATAATATTTACTCTCTTGGCTGCATATAGCAACTCGCATAAATTGGGGTTCAAGCAAATAATACCAATCATCAAGCATCAATCACTTCGGTTTATTTCTTCAAATAATTATGAGACTATGGTAGCTAATGTCTATTAATTTAAATTATTGTGACCTTGCTTCGAGCCCATCCCAAGCTTGAGCTTCAAGGAGTTTCGCCGGCTCGCCAGACTGGAAGTTCTCTGCCTCGGCAAAGAATCTGATACCGAAGCATTGCTCCGAGGGATGGTAGATGCGAGTTGTGATCACTGTCCTCTCATTCACAAAGACCTCGAGTACGCTCCTATCGAAGAACGCATGCACGCGAAGCGTTTCTTCAACATCGTCGCCATGCTCATTGCGGAAGGTGAAAAGCGTATGGGGTGCCGACTCATCTCCATGGTTGATCTCAGTGTTTGTTACTGGAGGTCGGCGAATCGTAAATGTTTCACTGCATGGATCCCAAGAAAGGATCGTGCGATGTTCAAAGTCTACCACGCCCATATTAGTATCCAGAACCTAGCAAGGTATTTGTATTTTGTATACGAAGTCACTCACTGGCACTGTGTCCAATCTCGATACCAACTCTCTTGCACGATTTCCCGACAGAGAATTCAGTCCGAAGTTCCCACCGAGAAGTCGCCAGAGGAATATCAGCTTCAGAAGACGCATTGAGACCCGCAGGCAATGACATTCCGGTTAGTTGGCGCTCGATAGCACCAGCTCGGAGCTGAGAAAGTCGTGATTCTGGACTGATTTCCAACGTATGAATAGTGAAGGTACCGTGTTTGGAGGAATCGGCAGTCGCCTCAATCGAGGTAATCGTTTCCAGTCGCGAGCTGCGTGCCCTCTTCACATTATACAATGTCATCATCCGCACGACACGAGGCAGCGATATCATACTGCTCCAACCCTGACGATGGCGAGGACCATCAGGCAAATCCTCTTCCGTAATCCAGCCAAAAACAATGCGCTGGGAAGTCTGCGGGTCCCAGAAAGAATTGGCAGCATATAAGCACCCGTGATCAAAATATCCAGCAAAGGCATAATCTGAAAGTGGCTCATTAATCGAGTTGTGCTCTTCAGGTTTGCGCGCTCTCACAGACATCCACATCTGACCCCGAGGATCTCTTTTAAAACGAGCCTGTCGACGCGTCTCCTCGTTCGGTTTTTCCGCACGCAGACACCCCTCAACTCCCATAATGACAAAGTCTCGCTCATCACCGGAATCGTTGGCCAATGTCAGTAAATTCGATACCTCCCAATTGACGCCAAAATCGCCGGACCAGCGTGATGGTCGAAAATTGAGGCCAACGTCTACCAATGGGCCGATATACTCCCACTGACGAAGATCATGGGCGTTGACTTTATAAACATAGATAACTGGGGCTTTGCCTACAATACCACCGGCTGTTATCCCATACAAGTTCGAATCTTTCTCGGGCGAGGCATCTCGGCATCCTCGGTTCCAAGTTGTGAGAAAGGGGTCTCGCCATCCAGTCACGGAAAGGTGCTTAGGTGGTCCAGAGATGACAGGATTGCAATCCTGTCGCTGCCAGGTCTTTCCACCATCCTCTGACACGGAAAGACTGATTGATTCACAACCATATGTATACGGTAATGTGAAATGAATCGGCAGATGACTGACGGACGAGTATATTATTGTCATCTTCCCAGGCTCGCCAAACACATCGGTAGACCGTAAACATCCGGTAAAGACACCTCGGCAATCATATTGAGCGGACGGTGTCATAGCTGGCTCTGGAGATGTTTCCCAAGATACAAGATTCTTTGAAATAGCATGTCCCCATGACATGTTGCCCCAGTCGTTGCCCCAAGGATTCCATTGAAAGAAAAGATGGTATAGTCCGGTGGTTGGATCGTAACCTAGGCCACAGGGATCATTTATCCAGCCATGCGGAGCGGTCACATGGAAAAATGGCTTGGAAGTAGTAGCTTTTGCTAGAATTGGGTTTGATCCATCGACATGTTGTGAAGGGCAGAGGCGCTGCTCTTGCAGACCAGTGGCCACGTCTGGTGAATCGAGAAGAACAGACATGTCGACCCTTTGAAGCTAGTTTGGGGTCGAGTCGGATCAGTGTGGTGATTCAATCACAAAGATCAGGGTTGTAGGCAGGACCCCTTGGCAAAGCGAATCAATCGCTAGAGAAATTAAATGCGACCGACTTGATCCCTTATCACAGAGGATTGCGTAAGAAAGTGCTCGTCGGAAAAATGAGTGCAGGGGTTCGCATACATATGTCAGTATCACTGCAGTATGCACAATTTGGCCGAGCCTTTTCCTCGAGAATGTTTTCCCACGAGCAGAACAGGATGGGATTTGGCCGGGACTTAGTCGGGGGCTCGCTCGGCAGATGTCGATCGAAGCGGAGGATTATCGGGGAAACTCATGTGCCCCGTAAACGCAATGCTACCCCATATCTTGTTTGTATTGCATAGGCCTGAGCTCCTTTTAATCACTTTTCATTGGATCTTCTCATTAGCGAAAGATCCGGGGTAATTGAATTGGGGATTACTGGAAATCCCGATACTCTGGCAGAACTTGGATGGCTTCCCGCAAATGGTTGCGGATAGTGGCAGATCGGGATTTTCCCGGAAATGATTATTTGAAAGTCATTTTGAACTTGGTTAGGAACTTTCGATTACCATGAAATAATAAATCCGGTTATATGAATGATCAATCTATTATCATGTTTGATCCCGTGGGTTCCGTCCAACTTGGTGTCGCGGGGGCCACTATCATTTTTGACTGGCAGAAAAAGCCAACACCCAGTTAGTTGCATCAGTTTACTTCCAATTTGTGGGTATAGGAAAAGAAAAAGAAAATAAAGAGACATAAAATCACAATTTCAGGATTTGCTATTGTGTAGCTTCTTTCACATATACTGCAACTATTCTGATGGAATTTCCACCTCATCAATGTCCGGGCCGTATCCAGTATTATATCCCTCGATGACAATCGTATTGCCCTTACCTGCCTTAAGTTGAGTGTTTATAACGCTTCTCTTAACATTGCCTCCACTTGCTAAGAACGCGACCTTTTGAGCGGGAGAGTCATTGAATGTGACGTTTGCATACCGCGTTCCCGAGTCACCATTTCTATACTCGAACGTGATTGTGGTTGCTGTGGAATCACTGGCTTGAATGCCACTCAATGTGACGCTTCCGTCACTTGGCCCTCCAATATAACCAGCTGCGGAACCCCCAGAGCAGCCAGTACAGCTGATGCTCTTTGCTCCCGAGGCATAGCTACCACTTTCTCCCTGAACTGTCGTATTGGATATAGATGTCTGGAATCCAGATGAAGATCCAAGATTCGGGGCCCAGTGATCGTACCACTTCATAGCGACAGTCGCGCCCGAAATTTCTAGTGGTAACCAGACATACGTGCTTGTCATAAGATCAGTGCTTACCCAGCGATCTCCCATGTACATAACCCGATTTTCATCGATGGAGAGCACGTAGTTTGTCTGGGAGGAGAACGTGTTGCTGCCAACAGGTGCAAATGTTTGCCAATCTGTCCATCCACTTCCGAGTGACTTTGATGTAGAGTAGACGTTGTCATTGTCTGACCAACCTGACAGATGCGACCCAAAAAGGTAGTAGAGACCATCGCGTTTCATAAGTGCTGGCGCTTCGATATTTCCTGGGTCCGGAAAGAGATACGTCTCAGAGGAGATGTTATGGTAATCAGCCGTCAGTTTGTAGATATGCAGTCCTTTTGGCCGCTAATGTCGCGAATTTGATCAACTCTTAGCGGGTATTTCTCATCATAACAGGGACAGATGATACATACGTCCTCGGAGATAAGATACCCAGATCCGTCGTCATCTTTAAACAGAGTCATATCTCTACTAGTATTTCCCATCGGCTGGAAGCTACCCAGGTAGTCTAGAAAATTTCGTTCAGCTCTTTTCAGCGGACAATGTTGAAATAGTTAGGCACTCACTATATTTCCCACATACTGAATCTCCTGTTGCCACGCCCACTTTTGCCTCGCCATAGCTCGAGCTGTCAATATGAGCATAGAGCACATATTTCTTCGTGCTGTCATTGTAGATAATCTTCGGTCGCTCCACAACTCGTGAAGGGCCCAGATCGCCAGAAGCGGTTCGGCTCAGAAGGGCCCCGACATATTTCCATTGAACAAGATCGGACGACGAATAACAATTGATGTTCTGAAAGTAAGTACCATCTGTTTTATCTTCGCCGATCATGTAATAAACTCCATTTTCTTCGATGAATCCGGCACCATGGGCCTGTAGATGCTCCCCATTTGACTATGTAAAAGGGCAAGGTTGTTATAACCAAGGACAATTCTAGCTTGCAACCATTGAAGACTCACAGCAGTCCATGTTGCGCCTGGTACAAGCTCTAGAGCGGCCAGCGTGGGGCTTGCCAAGGCACCTAGCAAGACCAAGAGCAGATTCATGTCTGGAATTTTCATTAAAAAAGGATCCAAATTCAAGATCTGAAAGGCGTAGTAGATTGAAGAAAGGTCCAATATGGGCCGGGCATCATGTCTGCCTTTAAACAAGTTTCATTGAGAGAACTACCCCGAAGTCCGGACTGAAGAAAATCAACACCGGAGAATTCCCTATTGAAGGAGCAGCCAATATTCAGGAACATGTTATTTTTCCGCATAATAGCCAATGAATTTACCTGTAGCTAGCGCCCGTGAATACTCGTACATACTGCATTGCCAGGGTTCTCCGCAGACTTCCCCCACAGTGACGTGACATCCCACATCAACTGTAACACGCCGCTTGCCGATCAGCTCCGAGTAAGTGTTGGTGTCAAATGACGGCCAATCATAGTTTCATGCAAGAAACTATTCAGTGCAGGGGTTGTCTAAAGCATATTTTCATGGCGGGGTTTTGGCTGGGAAATGAGTGGGAAGCGGTGGATCTCTGGCCGTGATATACTCCGGTAGCCCGATGAGTATTACCTGGTTATAATGCTAGTCTCCAAAGGCTAGAGGTCGGGCCTTATAGAACTAGCCATGGAATTTTTTGTAGACGGATCTGATGAGTACTATCTGACTCTTTGAGGGTATTTGATGTTGTACTTTGTCCTACCATTCACCAGGCGAGACTAATTTAGCATTTTAATGGCCTCAACTCCAGAAAAGGATGCTGTTCAGAATCAAGAATGTGAGGTCAGGAAACATAGCCATCATTCCGTCAAGCTTCCAAAATACCAACATTGTATGACTACAATGGCACCCGTTATTGTCTTCAATGTTCTGGAACATTGATATACTCTTTCAACCCCTAATACTATGGATATTTGCGTATTTTTCCATATTTGTCCTGATCTTGATGGTAATAACACAAGAAGTGGAAGCATGGGCCAGCTGCATAGCTATGTATTGTTACAGATCCAAAAATAAATAAGCACGCCTACTAGACTATTAGACGACTCAGACCCTTCCTCCGAAGATGCGTTCATGGTATTGGTGCAAAATAGGAGAGTGCAAAAGGCTATTTTCGACATAAAGCTACAATTCTAGAGAAAATATAAATAGCCGCCATATCTAGAAATGTGGTATATGAATTAGTTCAAGGTGTCGGCTGTTGAATGTGCTGGTTATACTTATTCATCTAAGTTGACGCCAGGGTTGGTTCGTGTCACAGGAGAGCTAGAATATTAGAAAGACGCACAACGCGTCGGTGCTTAGTGTGATTTATGATCTGCGAATGTATTTGATGTGGCAAAAGATTAAGCACTGCAGAGGTGGCATATTTTGAAGCTATGCACAGCCTTAATTTCATACGAAGCTTTCAATCGACGTAAAGCGAAAGTCGTCACTTTTACTGGTGAAGGGACTCAGGCTGTTAAGACCCCTATTCAAAACTGAAAATGCACATGGGCGCACATAATATAAGTTCCGTCCCCCTTCTCTTTCCCAATATCATCCACCCCTGTACCAGCCCCACTACCGCTACCTTGAGCTGGTCCTGTACAAGCAACAAACGGTAGAAACTACGCAGTTAGTACGCTAATATATTGAAAGTGAGTAGAGAAGCAGCTTACAACTGCCGCCGTGCAGCAGAGCTTGTGCGATGGACTGCATGCAGCTACAACTCACATTAGATAGAGATCCCAAAGAAGGGTTTGAGGGGGGCATACTAGTAGCAACCTTACAGCCCGTCCCGGCGCCGTAGAATTTTCCGTTCGGCTGCAGCGCTATCTCACAGCACCAGCAGCTATTCACGCCGACAGACTGCTTCTTCGCGAGCGCAAGGTTCTGTGCCGGGGCTGCAAACACCCAGCCCACGGTCAAGGGGAGTATCGTGATATATTCGAGACGCATAATACGTCGTTAGGAATGGTTTCGATAACTTGAATACTGCAATCGATTACAGAAAGATAGATCAGGTCTAAGAAGAAGGGACGATTATCCCTGCCCTTTGAAGGTTAGATAAGTCGTGAATCACGAAGAGCTCAGATGGGTTCGTCTGGCCATCGCCACCTGGGCATGACCATGGCTAGATTCGACGGACTCGGCTAGACCTCTTTGCTGTCGAGTAGGACACTAAAGCTTAGTCCCAAGTCTCATGATAGGAGTCAGTACAATGATGGGAATCCCGAGGGACGTGAATCGCCACCTTCTACTCTTTGGAAAACATGAGGTATCCAAGTTATTCGAACTACCCCTTGGAAGTTAGAGGCCTCCCATCTTTCTCATCCACAAAGGGTAAGCGGAGAGTGATGCGGTGAATAACCTTAAACGTAAATTGTGATTAGTCACCCGTTGTACCCCGTATTTTAGTTTTAGGGAGAGAAGCACACTGGAATCTCTCGGGAGGCGCCCCGATCATCCCATGCTTCTCCAGTTTCTCCATGGGGAAATCCTCCACCCCGCTATGGCCCTGCGCAGACTGAGCACCCTGTATATAAATATCAATGCAGGTGGAGCCTCGTTTGCTCTCCAGAGCTTGCACTCCGACCGCCCTGCTTTCACACTGGGCTTGGTCTCTCCGTGCAGCAATGAATGTCGATAAGGATGAAATCGCCTCCGCGCAGGTTGAGCATGTCGATCCGCGGAAATCAGAGAAAGGCGCCGTCAACTTTCTCCTGGTCTTTTCTTGTATAGTATTTGGCGCGGCGTCGTTCATTTTTGGTTATGATGATAAACTCATCTCGCCCCTTGCGGCATTAACTCCGTTTGTAAGTGCATTCTCAATTGACCCTTGCCATTCAACCCAGGTATTAACGGCACCGTCAGGTTGCGAAATTCCAGGGACCCAACCCAGCAACCGGTAAATACGCTTTCACGGCCCAGAATCAAGATCTCGTGTTCTCGGTACCCTTAGTTGGCGCTGTATTCGGTGGATTGGTGGCCTCGCCATTGAACTTCCACTTTGGTCGCAAGTGGCCTGTGGTGGCGGCTTATATAATTTCAATTGGTGGAGGACTACTACAAGTCTTCGCACCTAATTTGGGAGCTTTTGTGGCCGGTCGTTCTGTGAATGGGTTTGCCATGGGCATAGCTCTGGCGACTGCTCCCCTTTATGTTTCAGAGGTACAGCCCTTTCACCCTTGACCTACCAGAAAGAATAATACTAATCATTATTCAAGGTGGTTCCAGTCTCTATCAGAGGTAGATGCGTCAGTTCGATCAACATTCTAAACCTTATAGCCGGTGTCGTAGGCACTGTCGTGGTATGGGGTACAAACAAACTGGGCGGAAAATTGGCCTACCAAATTCCTCTTGCTGTGCAAAGTGCCGTGCCAGTCATTCTATTGGTCTTGACAATTCCTCTACCAGAGAGTCCGGAATGGCTTATCTCCAAAGGAAATGTGGAACAAGCTCGACATAATTTACGCAAACTCCGCGGCTTCAGTGATGAAAAAGTCGATGACGAAATTCAGCTCATAGAACTTTGTGAAAGATTCAATCGCGAACTTCAATCCGAGGTCAGATTTTGGCATATCTTCAAAAGAGAGCATCTCAAACGGACTCTTGTCGCAGGCTCCTTCTTTTCCCTCAACCAAATATCGGGTGTTATTCTCTCGACTACTTATACAACCGTGTTCCTCACCGAACTGGGTGTTGCAGATGCATTCACCTTGACTATCATTGCTTCATGTTGCACTTTAGCCGGTACAATTGCTGCACCATTGGTGATTGACCGCGTGGGCAGACGCCCAACCGCCTTCACTGGAATGAGTATCTTGTTCGTGATCGATGTGGTCGCCGGTGCCCTCGCTTTTCAGAAAGGAAATAAGCAGGCGACTCTCGCAATCGCAGTGCTTTCCTTTATATTTAATTTCTTCTGGGCATCTTCGTTCTTCTCACTCTCGAACCTGATGCCCTCTGAAATCGCCACTCCAAAGCTACGCCACTATACCATGTCTTATACCATCGCTTGCCAGGAAATAACCGCAGTCATCACCACCCTCGTTGTCCCGCACTTGACATCGGCGGACGCGGCAAATCTCGGCGCGAAGACATACCTCATTTTTGCCGGATGTATGGCCGCCATCCTTGTTTTCATGTACTTCTTCATGCCGGAAACACGTGGTCGCACTTTTGCTGAGATTGATGAGATGTACGCTGCAAATGTGCCTGCGTGGAAGTGGCGGTCTTATAAGACTTCTATCGAAGCGAGGACCGGTGAGAGGGCCCCAGACTCATTAGAGAAGATACGAACATAATCAATGGCATTTGTGAATTGTTACTCCGATGGAATTATACATCTTTGTTTATAGGAATCTAAACTTATGCACAAATCGGATGCCGTGGGCCTGTCGAAGGATGGATGGAATATTTTATTCGGATGAAGACAGTAAACCCAATCCCGACTCAGCTTCAAAGTGAAAGTCTACTAGTATCTATCTAGAAATATCTGCCTGTCCCTTGCCTGATTCTGATGCTCATATCTTGATCACAACTTTGCCAATATGTTGACCGGAGTATAGGTGATCAAAGGCTTTCTGCGGATCTGCGAACGAGAAAATCTTCTCATCAAGCAGAGGTTTCAGCGAAACCTTGTGGTCAGCCAAATACTTGCACAGGTTATCCTGGTCGATTTTCGAGCCGACGAAGATTGCTCTGCGGAGGAAGCTGCATTAGCACTGAACAACAAGATCATCACCCGGTCTGTTGCAAATTAACTCACTTGATGGTGGCAGTATTCAGAAGCAAAGGCGTGAAAGTGTCAGGGTAGCTATTCATCTGAAGTCCTCCCAGGATACCAATTAGAGAGATGGTACCTCTTCGGACGAGCGAATGGAGACTTTGGAGGATAGTAGTAGGCCCTCCCGTTTCAATCACAATGTCAACTCCTCGATTATTCGTCATGCGCTTCACTTCGTCTTCCCACTTCGGGTATGTCTTGTAGTTGATTGTTTCTATCGCACCGGGCGGTCCCAAGGCTTTAACTCTGTCTAGCTTTTCATCGGAAGAGGACGTAATGATAACGTGAAGGCCGGCACTCAAGCAAAGTAGCAAGGCAAATAAACTCACGCCCCCAGTACCTGGATGTATCTGTGATTAGCATCTATCTCCTCAATGTCCGACCGAGAGGAATTTGAGTTTACCTTGGAGAAGTACGCTGCCCTTTGCATTTGGCATATTCAAGCAATTCCATGCGGTGGTACCCGAGATAGTCACACACGCGGCCTAAGCCAAGATAACACAACACAATTAGAAAATATGCTAGTATTGCTTGGTTTCCGAACAAACTCACCTCCTCCCACGAGAGGTGCTCTGGCAAATGCACGAGGACGCTCTGGTCGAAAATAGCGAACTCGCGCAACACGCCATCGATATCTCCACCAAGTGTTCTCTTCTCAATTTCAGTACCCTCTAGAGCATTGAGGTCAAAGATAGGAGCAACCCGATCTCCGATCTTGAAGCCAGATACATTATCTCCGATCGCGAGGACCTCAGCGGCGCAGTCGGATGCCGGGATACCTCGCTCAAGAGCAAAGCTTGGGTATTTGCCATTGAGCATGGCTACATCTCGATAATTGAGAGATACGGCTCGAATGCGAATTAATACTTCTTCAGGGGTAAGCGAGGAAGGAAGTTCTTCTGTTACGGGCTGGACGATGAGAGGGGTGTCTCCGGAGGTACGGCGAAATGCCTTGTAGCTTCTTGGTATAGGGATTGACATATCTCAGGCCGCTTAGCATAAAATTCTTGAGCTGTTAAGGTCGAACAGGTCATTGAGTCCTTGAAGAACAAATTTATAGGCAGGAATTTGTGGCCGAAATCCTGCAGGATCCGATATTTTCTGGGCATTATTAAGGGCTGAATAATCTATATCCATTTTGAGCCACTGGCAGATGTCAAACAGACCCCTTTTGGGCTAGTGGATCGTTTCATGATCTAGCGGTTTGCGGGGCAATTTTAACAACTTCAACTCCGTCAAATGTTTCATTGCATGGAGTCTCAATCGTGATTTAAATAGCCAAGAGCATATTTGCATGAATTAATGACCACTAGCGTAGTAACAATAAAAATATAGCGAAAGAGATGAATACCCAAGGGCAGACCCCCCCCAGTGCGAGTCTGCGAACCAGGAACGGCCACGAGAGGTAGTAGGTAATAGAGAGAGGGGTTGTTATTTTGTAGAAAGAAGAGATGTTTGAATCGTTTCTCGGGCAGGTCAGGCTCTATATACATCGCGTACTCCGTATACCCTGCGTCCCCACTATAATACGTACTCCGTAGCTACCATATTTCCTCTTCTCGGTGGGCTATTCTTGGTGTTGTGGCTTTAATGAGACTGTTTATTAGGTTTACTGAGTAAATTTCAGTCCAGGCTCAGACTCATCCAGGGAGTGATCGCCAGTGGACGCATTTTTTGAGCACCACCTTCGCTCCTTCGCTCTAGATACCTGACGGAGTAAGCGGGACCCATAAATTCTGTGGGGTTGGTTCGTCATTCATATCTTGACGGCCAGCGTTGTCTCTCGCTACAAATATGCTCCCATTTTTGAGGTGGCCTATAGTCCAATTCTGTTTTGTCATGAATATTTGTGCGTTGGAGTACGATTAATCTTTGGCCATTTCCGCTCTATCCCCCCTTTGATCCCTTACGTCATTTGAAGGTCCATACAAGCTAAATTGGAGCCTCCCCCATAACTCCTGAAATATGTAGTATCTCTTTCAAGTTTATCCACTGGGATTCAGGCTAAAATGGGGCCGGCCCCATCGATGCCAGGGGCTGGAAACCTTCAATCTATCTAATTTCGGATTCGTATTAAATCAAAACCATCAGCTTCGAAGAGCTGTTATTCTTCTTAACATCACTGGTATAAGTTAATCAAGTACCTAGATAGTCTCGGATTCTCAGGTCATGGTAGTGTTCCGCTTAAGCATCCAGGATTGAACAAGATAACTTGATATTGCTCTGTGTTTTGAAGTGGAGACGGCTACGTCCTCTCTAATTACTATGATGAGACATTGTTCACAGCCTTGCCATTGGGTTGGGGTCCGACTTTCATAATATTTGGGGGCGGTCTCTGGGTAAGGGTGTAGAGTGGTCATGTTGAAGTATTTAAGTCGCGGGCCAATCCAGTTTCTACGCAGATAAAATATCCCTTTGAACCATTTCGAGATTTTCTACCATTTTACCGTCAAAATGCGTGTTCTTCAAGCTGCTACTCTTTTACTCCCTGCTTTTACAGGTCTTGCTTATGCCGATTGGGCATGGCAGTCCCAGCCATCTGTCGGGACATTCGTTCTCATTTGGAACTGCGAAGATTGTGACGCCAACGTCAGCTCTAATATGGGAATGAACAACTGCCTCGTCGACGCCAACAACCAACTCTACGCACAAGACAAGTAAGTTTGGGCTAGCCATAAGATACCCAGGTCGATGAATTGCTAGTATTTTGCAAAAGCGGAAATGCCTTTAATTATAGCGCAGAGAACAAATGGGGCTGTAATTGGGAAAAGTGCAAAATTGACGATGAAAGCATCGACTGCACAGATGCAGGCTGTGGAAGTATCGCTATCAGTAAGGTATCTCGGCTCCATTATCAAAAATACTCGTAACTAACAGTGACAAAGAGGACGCCGTTCACCTCGAGGGCAACGATATCGTGTGCTTTACCCATACGGCAACCGCGACAACCGCGACTGTATCGGCGACTCCTACCGCGACTACTGCATAAGAGAGAGAGGAACATCATGTACTCAGAAACCAAACCAGTACATCTCTGGGGGTAATTAACTTAACACTTATTGTCCTGAATACAGTGGCGCTGCAGCAAAAGTTTGACTCCCAAGGGAAAACCAATAGCTACCTGGGATGCAATAGATTAGCCTATATTTTCTATCTTATATAGCTACCAGTCTGCGATTAGAAGGCGGAGACGAGAATAGTCAACGAGGGGTAATCTTGTTGGTCCCTGCTAACATATTTCACTAGCACTCGGAACAGACCATCAAAACTTGAATCCTGTTCCCACCACGCCACCTACAACGACGTGGCTAAACATCAAGGGTACAAGAAATGCGGTAAGAGTGTAAGCAAAATATGCATGGTAAATAAATACTAATCTAGGGTTGGAAGTTGCCATGGTCCAGTCAGTGTGAAAAAAAAATATCTGGTTGAAGTATTTCAAATTGAAGAATAAACTTAAATTGAAACAAACTCCAATAAAAGGCAAAGTCGGCAGCAGAACAAAAGGCAGATCATTTTAAATACATAGTACTAGTAAGTAGCCGGGTCAAGGGCAGTCCAAGAACCTATGCTCTGTATCACCATAATCACCTGTAACACATCCCCACGTATATCCATTTCCATCACGTACCACTGCTGCAGCTACATTGAAATTGCATACGTTCTTCATCTGGAGTACACTGTTAATAGCGTCATAAACACTACCCCCACTGATAGGCGTGTTTTTGTTTTGTGAAGCGAGACACCACATTGTGGTTGGGTTGCCATGCATAAATTGTTGACTGAGTTGGATCGGCTGTAGAGTTTTGTAATTTGCAATCGAGGCGGTGGACTTGGTAGTTAAAAAGTTGCGCATGTCGGTATTGAAAGGACAAATGTGCATGTGGACTTGGTCCTGAGTGACAGAACGCACAGGATTAATAGCCAGACCATCAGCACTTGGGTTAGAATATTGCTGGCCAAAGTCCCAACCGGTCGTTGCAAGACTTGGTGGTTGGTTTTGTAGGGCCAAGATGTTGCGTATCGCCTGATTTGGTATGGCTAAATAGCCACCGGCGAGCTTCACCCAGCCTGGTACACCCTTTCCGTGTTGCCAATCACAATATCCTGGATTCTGCAGGCAGGTACACAATGAACTGAGCCATAGCCCACAGGAATCGCAGTCCATGTTTGCCGGTGATGTGCAATCAGAATCGCATTTGGCCAGGTAAACCCCCGAATAACGGTTGTCCACAAGTACTCGGGCCAACCTGACATTGTATGGGGCAGAAACCCCCAGGGCTGGGGGCTCGACAAGTACATGTGGGGACATCCTCACGAGATATGTCATTACTTGTGCAGATGAATTGACCGGCGCTCTTCTGAATTATGCTTGGGTATAAGAAGAGGGCACCGATAAATAGGATCCTTTGGAGACTCATTTTGAGACAGTGTATATTATTTCGTTGAAATTTCGCTCTACTTCATAACTGAAAAGGATGTGTTAAAATAAGACAAGCTAGGTATTTCTACATTTCCCGCTTGATCACTTCGGCTAATATATCCTGGAATCTATGACACTCTATGAAATCAATGGTACGCTCTAGCTAGAGAATCGTGGTTTATTCCAATCACGGCGGTCTGACATCTCGAGCTGAGAGTCCATTGGCTACTGCTCATTTGAATGATATGTTTTCCTACTTGAGCATGGTCATCGGGTTAAACAATTAATTCTAAGAGGATCTAGACAGAGATTCTTCAGTAGGCATCGCCGGAGAAGGAAACAAAATACCAAAGTACCAAACTATGAAAATTGCCACTCTCGCCGTGTAGGATAAAGCCTCCGATTGTCAAAATTTGGAGAGCGTAATGGTCGCGTAGACTTGCTGCTAGCGGGATGTCATAAGGGTGGCGGAAAACAACCTCTAGTCGAGGCTTCCGCTGCCATCCGATGCAATTTTGCTTCATCAATGCCATTCTCACCTGGGCACTCATGAGAACAAATGGAGCCTTAATTAATGCGTTTGTAGTAGATTAAAGTCTTAGCTCTTCCAGAAATCAAAAGCGCTACTTTGGAGCTATGCCGACACTTTTTAAGGTTATACCAAACTGCCAATACTAGTTTAGTCACCTCATGCAATATTGTGAAGGCTACAAGAAGGAAGCAAAACGGAGGGGATAAAATAATAAGCATTAGAGCAAGCATTGAAAAGACATGACTGTCAAAATCCGGGCATTGAGGTAATAGCTTATCACAATAGTTATATTACCCTGGTTTAACTCTAGTATGTAAAAATAGTAAGACAGCCAATAACATCCAGAACAGAGAGAGAACGAGCCCTAAATAGTCAGCTTACAGGCAATACTTCTAGAAATAAATGAGCCATTCTAAATAGTCCAAGTAATCAGACAACTGTTTTTGGTGTGACTCATCCGAGTCTTTAAGTTCTCACCATTTAGTATATGGAACTTAACTCCGTACTCCTACTTCTTACTATTCCCTTTTAGGTCCCCTACTGAAGAAACAAATCAATTGCCTATACTATAAAAACCACCCCGCGTTATGAAGGAAGGGAGGGGTCCAATAAATCCAATAACCAACTTGAACCTGAACTTCTCAAATGCAAACCTCCCGACTCAAACTAGTCCGACTAACCGAGGACCACCTCCCCGGCTACCATGCCATCTGGTCCGACCCATTCACAACCCGATGGAGCGCTCACGGCCACTGCGCGACACTGGAGGATAGTCGAGAGTGGATGTCAGCTCTACTCCCCGATGTTAATCCCAAGGGAGTCAATTATGCAGTCTTACTGCGCGCGGATTTGGACCCGAGCTTTATCCAAGCGCGGCACGGGAGCGGTAATACCGACGGCGATGGCGATGGCGATAGCGATGCAGTCCTCCGACCCGGCGGCTTTTTGGGATGGGTTGGAACATGGAAGTCGGATCCAGAGCCGGAAGTTGGACTTATTTTTCACCGATCGACGTGGGGACTGGGATTTGCTACGGAAGCCTTGAGTGCATTTTTGGAACTATTTTGGAAGGAAAGGCCTGAATTTGAGCATTTGGAGGCGTGGGTTGATGAGGAGAATTCTGCTTCGAGTAACGTTTTGCGGAAATGTGGGTTTCGTCTTGTGGAAACGCTTAAGGGGGATTATACTTTGAAATGGATGGTGCCTGAGTTGAGGAATAGTCTTCATTTTCGCGCTCGGAGGTCTGATAGTACCACTGACTCCTAGGTGCTACTGGTAATGAGGACAAGAGGACTCAATAAAGTTGACGAAAGCAATCACGTCTTTCAGGCGATGGGCATATGTGTACAGGTTGATATTTGCATCTATTCATACATATAATCGATATACAAATTGCAGCCCAGCTATCATTGCGTAGCCCAAGCTACCTTTCCGCTCGGAATCTGTAGCGACTGAAGGTGGGCCTTATATTTTTCCAAGAAGGGGTGATTTCCACCTCGGAAACTGTGCAATAGTAGTAGGAAATCTTCAGCCAGGGTCTGCGGGTTCGAAGTTGTGGGTATCGAGTCGGTGAAATTACCCAATGGCGCCATTCCGGTCCCATAGGGTGGGTTGATGTTACAGAGAATATCGGTCGCGCTAACTGCAATATCATATAACTTCTCGGTCTAATAAGAAAAAAGAGGTTGGTTAGCATTTTTCCCGAATCCAAGGCCATGGTCAGAGGGGGTAGTGGAACATACAAATCCAATCCCGTGGGCTTCCATCGAGCTAAGTTTCAATGATCGGCAGAGTTGTAATGTTGATTCGGCGACAGAGACGGCATAACCAAATGTTAGATCAGGTCGCTCAGAATGGGACCGTAAAAAGCCATGATTCAGACACAAGAGCCAAACACGGTTCTGAATCCATCTCTGAGTGATGAATACATCTGCGGCCTGCGTTTCACGCAATCCCATGGCCAGAAGAGCATTGTTGTCATTTCGATCCCCTCTTGCTTTCTCGAACCAGTCGTATCCTTTGAATCGCTCGGCTTGGCTGATTTTTTCTAGGCTGTCATACATCGACAGTGCTTTGGCCTCGGTGAATCTTGTGCAAAATCCCTTGCTGATGTCGCATCGTTGATTCCAGCAGTGTATGATGTCTTCGTCGATGACATCGAATAACTCCATCAGTCGAGCTAGGCCCATCATTCCTTCGGCATCTTTCTCGTTGTGAACAATAATACCCGAGACTAGACTGTGAGTTGCATTGTGAAGAAAATCGTGCACAGAGCGCATGCTGAATCCCGGTTTCCCGGAAAATGTTACCGGATGAAGCCGCTGAAGAGCATATGCTCTATGGTAGTATTGTCAGCATCTTTGGGGTTTTCGAAATCAGACATTGGGAGAGCATACCTTTCTGTAATTGATAAAACAAGATATGTCCGCAATCGTTGGCCCTTTTCATCCCCAGTTAAGTCACGATATGATTCAGGGTCATTGAGTCCGAGTGTGGAGGCGAGATCTAACGCCTCTCGCAACCGAAGCCAAGCAGCATTGTGCTGATTGCTACCAAAAAGACAACCGAAAAGAAAGAAACTCGTCAGAACTGCCTCAATGGTAGGATTTTCGCCAAAGTCGGAACAACTCCGCATTTTGGTGGCCTCGTGCATCATGGAACGTGCCTGTGTGGCACGTGACGAAGTCGTTGCACGTTCGTTGATCTCGATTGGTTGCGTCAAAGAAAACGCACACAGCGAAAGCAACATTGCTCCGAACTGGGGATTTTTGCGATGCTCCTGAGACATCATGCGGGTGAAGAGGGAAGAGCGACTGAGAACCGGAAGGGTGGGGTGTAATCGGTCGAAGTATACATCGATCCAAGGTATCATGTTCGATTCATTGATAGCCGCAGGCCAGAATTCGTCTGCGTCTTGGCTATCAGATTGGATCGATGATCCCACCGCTGGGGAGAATGCCATCCTTTGATGATCCTGCGGGGACATATTCATGGCCGAGGCGTCGGGGACTGGTTGGATGATGGAGGGGAGAGATGGTTTGAGGTATATGTTACTTCCGGGGAATTCGAACACTGGTACTTGGGTGCCTAGGTGGTCCGGAAGCCAGTATTCAACGTCTTGCCGGTCGTTCCAACCCACAGCGGCACTGTTGGCATGTGAGTCCATAGACGCGGCATCGGCAGCCCAGGCGTCTACCACGGCTGATGGTTGACCGGTTGGTGCTAGTACAGCTGCCCCATCCATTGGCATCGTGACGTCGCCATGGGGGCCTGCCCAGGATGTCCCCGGGATGGACACGGGCCGGCCGGGTTCCACCGACGAGGTCGGGACATGATACTGGAAAGATTCTTGTTTGGAGATCGGAGTCTCCGAGGGATCTCGAGAGATGATATGAGTTTGCTGGTTTCGGATTTGCGACACGCGACTACAAACATGGTCAGAGCAGTGCCTTCCGGCGCGTCGGCGCGATCATGTCATGACTTTGACTTACTGGCCCGTTGGACCGCGCTTCTTCTGCGGTTGGAGGAATGTACAATCAAAGCCCATCGCCTGACAGGCCTTGCAGGGTTGCGATAAGCTACACTGTCGGAAGGATTAGCGCCCGTGTTGGCGGTCGGCCGGCGAGAGCCAGGGTTAGGGGTTACTGAGGGGCCCGAAATACCTTGATCTTACGGAACTTGCATTGGTCGCAGGCCCGTTTTGCGATGCTGGCGGCATTCTTATTGCGGGTGCGAATGGCACCGGGGGCACCCCGGGACGGCGATCCTGTTGTAGAAGCCATCAGGAAGCCTCCGTGGCTCCATGAAGCATCGAGATAAAAGGCGAGACGGGGTGTGTCGAGGTTGAAGATCTCCCGACCCACTTCCGCCTCGACGGTTGGGAATTCCCCGCCTGGAAAATACGCCGCGAACGGAGGAGCTTAGGTTTTACCTGGTGTTAGCCATGTTTCTAAGGAATCAACTAGAACTAAAGTAAAAGAAAAACTAAAATAATTAAAATAAAGTAAAAGCAAAAGCAAAATCAAAATCGGGGGTGACTCCAACAGGGCCACGAGACTTCTCCAACTACTAGTACTACATACAGTAAATAGTGTACCCTTACTTTACTCTGCAATCCCCCCACCTTTGCCAATGACTCCATTCTTAAATAGCCGGTCGCCTTGCCGAGCCGTTGAAGCGGAGTCCTGTGTCCGCTACTAGCTATTTAAATGCTTGGGTTTCCTTTGAAAATCGAGACTAGACTAACGCATAAAACATAATGGGGTCCACACACCAATCGTGGGAGCAGATCGTCTCCCAAAAGCGTACCGCAAGAGATCAACTACTCGCGCCATATTTGATCGATGATATCGAGCATCGAGGCCCCCGGGCCTTGAATGTTGATCAGCGCAGCCGCCTGGAGAAAGATCCTCAAGTTCAGGAAATCACTGATATCGATAACATCGTTGTTCTGTTACAGCTTCTTCAAAAGGGGGAGTTGACGGCGGAATCGGTGATCAAGGCGTATATCAAAAGAGCTGTGGTGGCACATCAACTGGTAAATTAACTGACCCTTAAGATTATCCTTTTGCCTCCCGCTTAATATAACTAATCTATTTGTAAAACAAGACCAATTGCCTCACGGAAGTCTGCTTCACAGAAGCGTTGGAGCATGCGAAGGCACTCGATGCCGAATTTGAGATAACTCGTCAGCCCAAGGGACCTTTACATGGTATACCAATTACCCTGAAAGACCAATTTAACGTCAAGGGTCTCGATACAACAATCGGATATGTCGGCAGGTCATTCTCTCCTGCAAACGAAGATGCAGTCTTAGTACAGATGTTAAAGAACATGGGCGCCATCGTCATTGCGAAAACGAACCTTTGTCAAAGCATCATGGTCAGTCAGCTCTACCACACAACTAATGACAACAACTTAAACTAACTCTGTCATCTAGTGGGCTGAAACCGAGAATCCACTCTGGGGACTGACAACAAACGCCCGAAACCCTTCTTTCACACCAGGAGGCTCTACCGGAGGCGAAGGACCACTACTCGCTTTACACGGCTCTATTCTAGGCTTTGGAACCGATATTGGAGGCAGTGTTCGCATCCCACAGAGTGTCGCAGGCCTCTATGGCTTAAAACCCAGCGTATGCTCTTCTTTCATCATATGCTCAGTTCTTCCCGCATATAGTTCACTCACAATTCCCAACAGAGCAGCCGATTCCCATACCACGGCCTTCCCGTATCCACCGAAGGCCAGGAACACGTTCCATCGTCAGTAGGTCCAATGACCCGGGACCTCGCATCGATCTGCTACATCACACAACTCGTGACAAACGCCAGACCCTGGAATCTAGAACCCACGCTGCGCACCACTCCCCTGGAACGAACTATCATTCCGAGAAATTCAACAACGCCCACTAGTCATCGGACTAATTCTCGACGACGGCGTCGTGAAAGTTCACCCACCCATCGCCCGGGCATTACGCGAACTATCCGCAGCATTGAAAGCCGCCGGTCATGAGATTGTGATATGGGATACATCCGACCACGCGACCGCGATCGAAATAATGGATCAATACTACACAGTCGATGGGGGCGAGGATATTCGACGCGATATCGCAGTCGCGGGCGAACCTTATATTCCCCACGTCGAGGCTTTGGTTAATCGTGGCAAACCAATTTCCGTATACGAGTATTGGCAGTTGAATAAGCGTAAGGCTGCTGCGCATAAGAAATATCTTGATAAATGGAATGGTGCACGATCGGATTCGGGAAAGCCTGTGGATATACTTTTGAGTCCGACTTTGCCGCATACGAGTGTTCCGCATCGAAAGTTTCGTTGGGTGGGTTATACGAAGATTTGGAATTTTCTCGATTATCCGGCTTTGACGTTCCCTGTTGATCAGGTAAAGGCGGATAGGGATCAGCTACCTGAGGAGCCGTATAAGCCGAGAAATTCGGTTGATGAGTGGAATTGGAATCTTTATGATGCGGAGCAGGTGGATGGGTATCCTGTGAATTTGCAGATTATTGGGAGGAAGTTGGAAGAAGAGAAGGTGCTTGGGGCGGCGACTGTTATTGAGAAGATATGGAAGAGCCGTATCTAGATATTAATATTTTTTAGCATGGATTAGATATAAGAGGCAATTTTGAAACTTGAACTAGAACCATATCTACCACCCTACTTATCTACTCAGGCACGAGCTTCAAATCCGCAACATAATTCATGATAGGAAGAGGCGAGACCTAGGGTCTACCTCCAATTTATTCAATTCACTAATCAGAAACCGCCAACGCCACTAGAAAATGCTGTTAGATATCGTATTTTTATGCCTTGGGAGGCACGAAAAGCTCGGGCTTCATGTTGATTTTGCATAGCTTCGAGATACACCCGCTCAATTGAAGTAGCGACTGCACACCATCGAGGATACGCATGTGAGTGAAACCAATCTCGCGAACAAATTCCAGCTTGGAGTGCTCCGAGAGAGTGGGAATAGACTTTGTGACTCGGAACATGGTGCTGATAATATCGTGGGAGGGAGTATCCGAGATTCCTATCAACAAATGTTAAAAAAAGATCAAAAAAGACAGATTAGTTGAGTTTTCAAAAAAAAGAAACAACTTACCAGAGCTCATTGAGTCCCTCTAGAGCCGCGTCTACTTTACCTTCCCAGCAAGCCTTGATCATAGCTTGAACCTTGACTGGATGAGGGCTATCCACAACACGGAACACATTATCGCCACTGACGAAGCCAAATCCAGACCAGGTACTTTGCAGATTGTTGATTGCTTGTCGCATGTCGCCCTCGGCGCTGAAAACGAGTGCGGCTAGACCGTCATCTGAGGATTGGACTTTCTCCGCTTCACAGATTTGTGTCAGTCGCTTCACGACTTGGGCGTCTGTTAGACGAGCGTAACGGAGGATGGCGCAACGGGACTGGAGGGGCTCGATAATTTTGTTCGATTGGTTGCAGGCGAAGGCGAATCGTGTTGTCGTTGAGTAAATTTCCATTGTACGGCGCAGAGCTTGTTGGGCACCGGGTGTCATGCTTTAAAATGGTTAGCTTGGGAAGGGTAGGGTGTGGTAGGGTGTATCTAGAAGTCATCGTGACTAACCTATCAGCTTCATCAAGAATCACAAGCTTGTGACGGCCATGCGGCAGGGTGACCTTCTTTTGAGCAAAGCCCTTGATACGGTTGCGAACCACATCGATACCTATTTAGAGCATCAGAAACGCATATTCCCAGTTGTCCATAGTGTAAGAATTGTCCAATCTGACCTCTTTCATCACTAGCATTCAGCTCCAAAACAGCCTCTTTATACGAATCACCCAACAATTGTCGGGCCAGACAGAGGACCGAGGTCGTCTTTCCAATACCGGGCATGCCGGAGATAATAACGTGAGGCATATTTCCATCTTTGGCAATTATTTTTAACCGTTCAATTGTCTCCGTGTTGCCGACGATGTCATCGAGAAAGACGGGGCGGTATTTCTCAACCCTGCAGCGGAGAAGCAAATGAAAAGTTAGCCAATGTACGTCCCCCCGTGTCATGCCACATGAGGTGTGATTGATTACCAAGGAAGCTCGTAGTCCACAGCAGCACCTGCAGTGACAGCTTTGGCGCCATTTTGCGCACTCGAGGAAGATTCGGCTTGTGTCATATTGGGTGGTTTGGGGGGTGGGAGAAGCGGTAACGTTTAATTGCAGAGACGCGAGAGGGTTCCCTCGCGCGCGTGTTGCGATAACGGCTTATCAGTAGGCGGAACCACTCTTACTAGTACTGTACTGTAGGGTGCCATTGTCTGTTCCTACCCTCCCAAGTTAACCATTGAACACCAGACAATAGCTGAACATCCGTGGGTAATTGGTCAACTGGTCTATCACTAAACCTTTTATCTTTGCACACTCATTCGCTAAAAGAGTCTTGTTGCTGGCCGATCAGCCTTGATATCCCATCTTTCTGCCGTTCGCGGCCCATTCCATTCCTCCATCAACTTTCCTCCCTAAGCTCTCCACCAGCTATTCTTACCCCCAGCAAACAGTCCGAGAGAGCAGTCCACTCTGATACACATACTTTATCAATACAGAGTGTGAGATCTCTCATTCATTCACTCCTTCAACTCGTGTTCATTCAACACTCGACGTGATCCATCCCCACCAACACCCAGAACCGCGTTTCCTCGTACACTCCGCCGCAAAACACCACGCCAGTCAACCCTTTCCACCGATCTCTGTCAAAACTCGCATCCATGATGGGCCAACCGACCGTTCGTTCCAATATATTCCAACAAGGCCTCAGCCGTCGCCCGGCCTCAACAGGACCACCCAATGGCAATATGTCGTCGGGGAATAATCCACTCGCAACTCGCCCTTCGCATTCGCATAGGCTCAAGCCGACTACGACCTCGGACTCTTCCTCTTCTCGCGGAATCAAGGTATCAGAGAATAAGGATATTGTGGTCAGAGACAAGAATGGCGGTTATAAACTTGAGGTTCCCGCTTTGCCGAATGGATTGGTTGGTGAGAATGGTGAGGAGCTGGGTGAACTTGATCCAGATGAGTCGGGTGAAATGGGTCTTGAGGCGACGGATATGGGTGGACGTGATAAAGAAAGTATGTTTCTTGGATTGAACGGGGGGAGTTTTTGGAATGAATTAAATTATTCGTGAACTAATGATGTTGATCTAGAATTTGACGCCGCACTCGTTGAGATGATGATTCGTCATCGGAATAGGCAGTCTAGTGGTGAACCTGATGGTAGGTTACAAGTTTTGAACAAAGACTGCTCTCTCCCCCTCTTCGAACTGCTGCTAAACCATACTCAGAAATTTTGGATATTGTCCACCAAAGTTTGCGCAAAAAGGCCGCGTCCTTGGATGATGATAGTTGGATGTTCGAGCCGGAAAAGGACATTGGATTCTAATGAAAAGAAATCTTCAATTATGCGCTACAGGTGTTCTTCATGTTCATTACACTTTGGATTTGGGTATGTTCAACAATGTCCATGGGACATTCTTTCTCTCAAACGAGGCGGATAGGCAGAGCAGAGCAAGCAGCAAGCCCGCCACTCGATTCGCGCCAGACGTCACATCACTTCACATCACTCTAGTCAAGCTCCATACTGGAAGGAGGAGCAGCCTCGACCTTCTTCGCGGGCCTTTGAGCCCGTCTCCCACCAGCATTATCCTGACCACCCTGACCGCCAAAAAGCATATTGCTCATCATATCCATGAGAGGGTTGCCCTGGCGAGGGATCTTGATAGCGAAATACTGCTCGCCAATCTGGGCCAGGAACTCATCCCAAATACCAACGTCCCGGATCTGCGCCGCGTAGTGCGCAGTCAGCTGTTTGAACAGATCTGCGCTTCCGCGCTGGACGGTCAGCAGCAACAAGCTGATGAAGTTGAGCAAGGGTAGTGCGGGGTACACGCGGGCGTCGGAGCTTGAGCTGCTGACGTCCTGCACGGCGAGCGAGGGGTTCGATGTTGAGAGTCGGGTGGTGAAGAGTAGCAGGGCTTTGTTGGCGCTGCGGAGGTTGCCGGTTAGGAGGTATGGGAAGACTGCGCGTGATGCGTAGATGGCTGCGGTGTGTGGATCGTCGTGGGTGTACCACTCGTATTCCAGCTTCGCCAGTGTCTCTGCCGATTCCGATGTTCCTAGAATAAGATGCTTCTCGGCGTCATACGGCTCGTTGTCTGCGTGGAAAAATCGAGTTAGAAAATCCAGGACAAATAACCTAAAGCCAAACGACGTACCTTCCGCGTAGACCGAGCCTGCAGCATGGTGCAGGTCTGGATCACCTCGCTCCAGCGGTCCAAATCGGCTACTCCACCCCATAATCTCTTGAATAAAGCGCTTCCGTGTAGGTTCGTCCGAGGGGAACTCGCGCAGAAGTTCGATCAAGCGCTCTGTAAACGGGCGTTAGCTATTTTGCGTCGCGGCGCCAGCCCCTCCATAAACCTCCAACATGACGAGATCATGATCACGATCTGCAAGCCTTGCGATAACACTCACTCTTTCTAGCCCGACCCTCAGTATCATTGTCCTCTCCTGAAATTTCCCACTCGGCCTTATTGTAAACCTCCACCACCAACATGATTGCCAGATCACCACCACTGGCCGAGGCACCCTGCTGGGCACCGGCTCTTAGCAGAGCCGTTGCACCGCCAGCTAGAAGATCGGCGGCGGCATCGTAGTTGGACTGTTTGATATAACGCACTGCGATGGTTCGCAGCTGTTGGTGTGCTTCGTAGTAGGCTCCGTCCGCGATCCTGGGAAAGAATGTGGGCGTTAGTCACTGAATGTTGTCCCGTTCCACAAGAGCAGAATGCGGTGTCTCACTTCTCTCGCTGGCGGGCGATGACCTTTTCAATGCGGGAGGTCATCGTGGGATTATGAAGAGAATGAAATCCTAGACAGTCGATGTAGAGATGTTAGAAAGTAAAGAAATCAAGCTCAGTTGAGGCTCCAAGTTCGCAAAGCGAGATGAAGCGGGACGTTCGCGGGGAGTTGGAAGTGCTGCAGTTGCAGCAAGTCGAAAGTTGGTGGGGAACGCGGTAGCTCTGCACAAAAGTTAGGTACAACCATTGACATTACACATTTCCTTCCGCACGCCAGAACCGACTGCGATCTTCTTAATTCATATATCTCTTCAATCTCTCGGGGTTATTCGTACTCACCTTATCTACGCAGAATTGAAACTATCGCAGGAACATCTCTGAAGCGCGCCCCTTGCGACGAACTCCGGCCCAGCTCAGTCTCCTATGCGCGCCGACTAGTGAACCATTCTCTCGAATCAAGCGCTGGGAGCAGCGCTGCTTTGCACCTCAGCCTGGCCACAATCCATATCCAGAGTCTCGCTAGCTCTTAGGACCAATTCCAGCCATGAGCCAGGCTACATTCAACATTCAACCCGTGAACCGCTTCGGCGGGCAGGGTACTACAATTCGGCGGCCCAGGGTAGGTGGTGCCCTTTTTATTGATTATGTCAATATGTTAACAATCCCTGAAACTATCAGGAAGTAACATGTTTCTCATACGACCGTGATCGCCAATTCATGTTGGGAGAAAGTTCACTGGCCTACTATTACCCGCCAAGTCTTCCAGCAGATCTGAACATCGGCTTTGAGACCTTTCAAAAGCTCAACGATGCTGCGGATGAGCATTTGGATGCTTTACTCGATACTATCGTTGCTCTTGAGAGGGATACGGAGAAGAAATGCGAAACTGATATTATTACCTGGCGAGGGATGATGACGAAGGTAAGATGCGATGCGATGCGATGCGATGCGATGCGATGCGATGCGATGCGATGCAGTGGCCATACTACGTGAACTTCATCCTAATTGTATATGTACTATATAGATCATGGCTGCTCCTTTCAATATGTCAGATGGGTATGTTATGCAGCAGTTTACGGGAAGTGTTCTTTACTCACATAGTCCATTTCATATCTAGTTTCGAGATGAACGCGACATGTTTCCAGGTAAGACCAACCAACTCCCTTGCAAAACTTATTTTATTTGGATAACCGTCTAACTTGGCCATAGGGTACAATGTACGATATTTCTTTCCCTTTTCGAAGCTCAAAGTTACTCTACTAATGAAAGAAGATTCATCGAAGAAAATAATTCATACAAAAACGAGCAAAAAGAGAAACAGAAAGCTCAAAGGATGCCCCCGGGAATGGCATCTCAGGAGCGCATGATGTACTGGGGTATGAAGAAATGCAGAATCTGGAATTCTTGCCTTGCCACACTCCGCAGGCCATTCCTTTGCAAGTTGCTGACCCCGATTTCGTTTCAGGTTACAAGTTCGAAGTTCTTTCTGTTTTACACAAGCCTTGGGATCCTACGACGCGCGCCGAGATCGAAGGTCGCCAGGATGAAGTTGTGAATAATAGTGCGCAGTATTGCTCGGTGGTTAAGACGGGTATGGGGAATGTACGCATGATCCTTGGGGGTGAAGTTGATGCTGGTATGTTTTTGCTTTCTGTCTACCGTTTCATTATATTTGATTTGGTTTGGTTTGATTTACTCACTTCCATCACCATAGTATGGGACTGCAAACCAGAAAGAAAAGAAGACCCAATCCACTGGGTTGAGCTAAAGACGTCGGCGGAAATCCGCAATGAGCGCGACATGCTAAAGTATGAGCGAAAGTTACTCAAGTTCTGGGCACAGTCTTTCTTACTCGGGGTGCCGACGATTATTGTTGGTTTTCGCGATCAGGATGGTATTGTTCGTCGTCTGGAAGAACTTGATACGGCCAGTATCCCTGGTAAAGTCAAGAAGCTTGGACGAGGCTCTTGGGATGGTAATATCTGTATCAATTTTGCTGCACAATTTCTTGAATGTATGGAAACCCTCCTTCTTATTCTTTAGAAACATACTAACACTTCACCTCTGCAGGGTTGAAACACACTATTCAGCAGGATGGGACTTGGAGAATACGGAAGCAAGAGAAATCATCGGTCATCGAGGTGTTCAAGGTTGAAGAGTCAGGTCATGGCGATATTCTCTCCTCTACATTCAGAGACTGGCGGTCACAAGCTCAGGTTTAATTCGTGTCTTCATAATTCTAGGTGGGCCTCTTTAAAGGCCCAATTTTGTACTTATTGTGGGTGGTATCTTTTATCTTTATCATTTTTATGTTTGCCCTTGATCTTCGGCGCTGGCTTCAGTCGCGGGGGCCTTCTTGGCTTTCTCCTCTAGTTCTCGTTTTCGGAAATATTCATCCCGTTCTGCTTTCCTTGCCGCCGACTTGAGGCCCTTCTTGTGCGGAGAGCTAGCCAAATGGATTTTCCACTGTTCTTCGCCGGCCATGGTTTTACGGCATATATCACAGGTAAAACATTGCGTCGTCGAATTTGGCTTTTGAACCGCTTGGTCTTCTTTGGCGCCGAGAACTGTATTCGCAAGCTCCGAGAGAGACTTGGGATCGGGCGTGCTCTTGCCGTCCAGCATTGACTGGACGAGATTCTCAGATGGCTCTGTAATGCAGGATTTCCAGTCGGCGACGTTGCTGCTATCAAGAAGGTACAGGCGATGTGTCATTCCTGCATCAGACATGGCTTTCCATAGCTTATTTCTGATCCATTTGATCTGGGACCGACCATATTGGCGGGTAGCAGTTCTGATCGATTCGATACAATTTGTTTTGAGAGTTTCGAGTTCTTCTCCGCTCTTCAAGTCGGTTTCGGGTTCTTGGAGGGCTGAGAAATAAGGCGCAAGCTCTTTGAACCCAATTGATACCCAGACGCCGCGGGTCATGTCCACCTCAATGCCTTCGGATTGTTTCTGTTGTATATAATCAAACATAGTCTTTGCCTCTGACATTAGGCCCATCTTCAGCATATCATCGACTCGACCGTTCAGCCGTGTATTGAGAATCTCCTTTTCGGCATGTACCCAAAAGATCATGGTGTTGTCAAACCGCAGCAGTCCTTCGTCATTACTAACAGCCTCGTTTTTCAAGAGTTGCTGCTCGGCGTAGATATCCGAAGCTCGCCGTCCAGTTTGGAAGTATATCTCCAACGACCGTCGAATCTTCCGAACATCCTTCGGGTGCCATCGCTGAGCCATCACGGGATCCACTTCTCTTAGCTTTTCCATGAGAACCTCAGGTGACGAATCCAGAATAGGCCATTTTGCCGATGTTGATGTTGACGTTGATGCAGAGGTCGAGGTTATCTCTGAAGATGAAGGCTCCGGTCCATCTTCATCCTCCGACCCCTCGCCGACCAACTGATCCTTGAACAATACAGCCTGGGTATAATAATGTGTACCTCCAACCAAAACTGGCGTTTTCCCACGTGCTCGAATTTCGTCAATAAGCCGGAGAGCTTCGGTTTTGAATTGACTGATGCGCCATGCTTCCTCTTCCAAATTTATACAACTCAGCAGGTGGTGGGGAATGCCGTTTCGCTCCTCGACGGGGATCTGGTTCGTAATGATCGGCAGGCCGCGGTACATTTGCATCGCGTCGCCATTGATAATTTCGCCGTTAAATCGACAGGCTAGATCTACCGCGAGCTAGCTGTAGCTGTTAGCGTGGGTTCGCATGCTCGCGTGCGACAAGAGGTAGGATTGAATGGAGGGGTATTTACCTTGGACTTGCCAGTGCCCGTTGCACCAACGACTGCTATGAGGGGATCCATGACTGCTTTTGCTGTTGCTTTATGACGGGGCCAGAATGATCGGAGGAACGGGAACATCCCGCGCTCATCTCATCGTCCAAGATCGTGAGATTCTGAAAAAGTTGGAGAAGTTGGAGACGGCAGAAAAAAAGCCCCGGCCCCGTCCCCGTCGTGTTATCGCAATCGCAGTGTCAATGGCACCTTACCTCATCCGGGGCCACTCCCGCGTGCCCACACTAGCTACCACCCCCAGTTTAGTTTCTTTACCCCCCGTGTGACTCAATATTACTGCCTAGTTTGGGGTTCTCCTTTTTCTTCTCTTCTGATCATACTCCTTCAAACTTGAAGCTGCCCTAGTTTTGTCCGACATGGCGCCGTCATCCACTGCCCAAGCCCCATCCATCGAGGTGCAGAACCTCTCTTATAAATTCCAAGATGGATCTGCGGGGCTCGAAGATGTGCAATTGAGTCTTCCACCAGGTAGCCGAACGCTGCTAATCGGCGGTAAGTGATTTTTCCAAAGCTTCCGAGTCACAATTATATAGTACTAGTATCTAATACATAATTTCCAGCCAACGGAGCCGGTAAAACCACCCTACTCCGTCTAGTCTCAGGAAAACGCCTAGCACCCAACGACACAATTTCCGTCGGAGGCAAAGACCCTTTCAAAGAAGGCCTGGAAGGAGTCACCTACCTCGGCGTAGAATGGGTACTGAACAGCATCGTCCGCACAGACATCGATGTACCAACCCTACTATCCTCCGTAGGCGGCGACGTCTACACAGAACGTCGTGACGAACTAGTCGATATCCTCGACATCGATCTGAGCTGGCGCATGCACGCTGTTTCGGACGGTGAGCGCCGTCGTGTCCAGCTAGCTATGGGTCTTCTTCGACCCTGGCAGGTCCTTCTCCTTGATGAGATCACTGTCGATTTGGATCTGTTGTCTCGAAGCAATTTCCTTGCTTTCTTGAAGCGTGAGACCGAGACGCGCGCTTGTACTATCGTTTATGCTACGCATATTCTGGACAATTTGGCGCAGTGGCCGACTCATTTGGCGCATATGCATTTGGGTAAGGTTAAAGCTTGGGGACCTGTTGAGCAGTTTTATCAGGAAATTCCGCAGTGGACTTCTGAGAATAGTCGGCTTGGTGAGTTGGTACTTAAGTGGTTGAAGGAGGATCTTGATGCGAGGGGTCCGCGGAAGGGTCGACCAGCGGAGGGGAAAACTTATCAGTCTCTTGAGGGGCTGGGAGGTTATGGACTTGAGAAGCGCAGTTAAAGATGGTATGACTTGACTGCTGCTCTGGTTCGACTTTTACGTTTGTTTTTGTTTTTGTTTTGTTTCTTGTGCTTTGTTCACTCTTCCGGCACCGATTTATGGGTGTCTTTTAACATTATGCCGTTCAACAATCATCGGGTTCAACAACCTGGCATGGGTGGGGTTTTGCGGGTATCTGAAATCTACAGGATAGATTTATTCAACATTAGGAGTTTTTCAACCAGGACTCCATAGAAGGGTTATGTTCATGAATATACGAAAAGAACTCGGCAGCATGGATGGCCGAGAAGTGGGAAATTATCTTTCAACCGATAGTGAAATCCACTTATGCATGTGACAAATATTCTAATTGCAATATCTACTCAATTTTTGAGGATCTCTGCTACTTTTTACTTTTAAATTTTCACTTTTCACTTTTCACTTTCTAACTTTTCATTGTAAAGAGCCACAGAAGATGATTTATCTACTGTATTTGATATTGAGCTAAGTATGGATCATGAGAGTATGTTCGAAATGGTGTATATGCGTGCCGAAGTGTCTTCACTAGCGACAGCAAGTTCAAACTGCGTCTTGCTATTGGCTTCCTCCGTTGTCACCGGTCGCCAAGCTAGTTGTGTGATCGCCCTTGAAGGCGCAATGGTGCTATCGATATTCACCACAAGTTGTGCTTCCAGGCTATCAACAGCAATTCGGTGGATAGAAACCGCCCCAGTATCCTCTCCAGCAGCAAGAATGAACGAGTCCTGATAAACCGCAGGCAGGAACTCAATAGCCGAGACAGGTGATGTCAAAGCAATTGTCGTTTTGCAGATGAAAGTTCCGTCTTCCGACTTTTGCCAGATTTTAACCGATTTGTCACGTCCAGCCGTGGCAAAGATATAATCCGAGGTTGAGGTTTTGGGAGCCCATGCTGCTCCCAGAATCATTCGAGAGTGGCCCTTGGGGTTGGAAGCCAGATTCGTGAACAAAGTTGCGTCGTGCTCACTACGTTCAAAGACAGCCCATTGGCGGTCTCGGCCCACGCTGAGAAGATACTTGTCGTCGTCGGAGAAGGATAGGTCGTAAATTGTTAGGGAGTGGGCTGTCAGAGAGGGTTTAATCTCATGCCAGTCCGATGTATCATACAGTCGAATGACAGCGTGATCAAGAGAGGTAGCCTTGCAGGCAGTCGCAATGACCTTTCGGTCGTGACTAACTGCAACGGCTGAAATTTCATAACCGTGACCGTAGAGCTTTTCGTGTTCTGGCCACAACGTATGTCGGGAGAGGTGGTCTTCTAGAGGTGGGGTGTCTGTGACCAAAGATGCTGCCGCTGCGGCGGCGGCGGCGGCGGAGCCTCCACCTCCTTCTTCCTCGTCTTCTTCAACGGGAGCCTCGTCTCCCTGAGCTTTGTTCGAAAGACCAAGCACAGGAATTTCAGCAGTGTCAGGGAGTTCCTCCTTAGAGGTTTGTTTGAAACCGGTCAGTCGCTCCAGCAACTCGGCAGTTTGTTTCGGCTCATTGAAAACACGCAATAACTTTTCATCTGCCCCAGACACAAATTGCAATGGGCCCAATGTATCGACGCAGTTCAGGTCATATCCATGAATCTGGGGCCGGGCAAACTCGTGCCACGATCGTTTCTCATCACGCAGCCATTGAGCATGTAGACGGGTTGTTTGATCTGCACTAGTGGAGAGCAAGTAGCCACCACTGGGTTCCCACTTAACACCATTGACCGAGCGCACGTGTCCCGAAATGCCAAAGTGTTGCACCCAAATATCTGCTTCGGCATCATGTCGCCAGGCTCTCCAACTGCCGGTTCGGCCAAGACTCACAACCTGTTTGCCATCTGGAGACCAGAGTCCAATCCAAAAACCACCCGCACTTCCAGTTGCTGTTGTTGCGCCTTTTTGCACGCTAATTTCACCCATTCGCTCTACCGACATCCACACACCTGATGCCGTGTCTTGCTCCCAGATTGTAACTGTGTTGTCGGCAGACGCTGTAAGAAGTTGCGAGCGTGTTGGGTCTGGGTTCCACGCTGTAGTGTAAATCCAGTCTTCATTTCCGAACAGAAGAGCTTCAAAGGTAACCGTATATTTCGATCCATTCGCTTCAAATTCATGCGCCTTGTTGGAGAGCGTAGGCTCCATTCCACCCA